AATATATTGTAAAGTGGATTGACTGTATATTTTGTGGGTGTATAAAAGGTTACAGGGAAAGAGCAGGGGAGTCACAGCGAGTTGGAGAGCTCTTTAGAGAACCGACACAGGCACGATGGGCTGAATGGCCTCCTTCTGCGCTGAATGATTCTGTGATCAGGAAAAACAACAAGTCACTGGCAGACCAGCCTGAAAATCATGTGAAACAAAGTTCAAAAGTTTGAGCAAGAGAGCGTTGGAAGTTATTACAAAAGGCAGGCTTCAAAGCTGGGAAGGCTTCAATAACTCCACAAATAGTTTGGTGTTTGCCAGTGCAGTTCACAAACCCCTGCTAACTTCTGGCTCGTATCCAACAACACTTCCCACCGCAGCTAGTGATGGCCTCCAACAGCCAATACCTGATCTCTGAATTAACTGTGAGCAACGAACAATGGCGATCACGTGAGGGGAAGGTGAAATAGGGAATAATATTTGAAAAGCGAAGGGATTTTTTTTCTCCAGTGCCTTGGTTAGCAATTTTGGAGATAAATTAGCAGATACATTTTGGAGTCCTGTACTGTAGTGGTTAGAGCACTTTCCTTCCAAGAGAGAGGACCCAGCTTTGATTCCCGGGCAGGGCGGAACCTTAGGTAATTTTCCTTACTCCACACACACGCCTCTGTTTACCTGGCAGTAAATAGGAACCCGGTTATTAGTTGATGGACGGATCGCTTTTCCAGGGGTAATGATCCCTCATCCCACAAAAAAATTTGGCACTCAATCCGTGAGTGTTTGTGGGACGCTGCTGTGCGCAATTGGTTGCCAAGTTTTGCCCACAAAATATACAGTCAATTCACTTTACAGTATATCCTGTGAAACAAGTTGAGACATCTAAAAAAGAGGTGATAAGCGCTATATCAAATGCAAGGACTATTATTATCATATTATGATAAAGTTGAGATGTTTTGATGTTAAAACACAGGTTATTTTCATTAGCTAAGATACTGGTGGTAAAGTCCACTTCTCTCCATTATACAACCTGCCTGGACTACAGAGGCAAGAATGGGAGTTAAACACTGTTTGGGATCCCAACCAGGCACCACCATGAGACATCTCCGCCTGAATCAATCCACATTTCTCCTTAAAGCCCCTCTCTGGGGGAGTAGAGATTGAACCTTGCTATCGTCACACACAGGAAAACCTATTTTGTTTTACTTTTCCCCAAGCGGGCACTAGATATTATGGACTCCGTGCTCAGGCAGGGAATAAGGGATCACCGTAGGCAATGTCTCATTTGGCTGATGTTTCTCATTCCGTTCACAGACGGGAGAATGTCATCAAAGGGTTTTCACCTGAGATAGAAGCCAATTTCATAATTTATATTATTATCAAATAACTAGCTGTACCCATGGCAGCTTTGCTTCCAACCAAAGGGTTCAATATGGAATGTAGATTGACACACAGACAGACATTTCATTTAGACATTATATTCAGCTGGGAGGACTCCTTTTGGGAGGACTCAGTGGGAGGACTCCTTTAATATATTTTCTCTCAGTCTCTCTCCCTCTATCTCTCAGTCTGTCTCTCTCTCTCTGTTTTTCCCACAAAACACAGTCACTACACTTTCACACACAGTCACTCCTCATCCTCGCCTACAAGGCCATTCATGGCCTTGCTCCCTCCTACCTCTCTGACCTACTATCCCCCTACTTACCTGCCCGTACCCTCCGTTCCTCTGGCTCCGGTCTGCTCCACATCCCCCGCCCCAACCGCCCTACAATCGGTGGCCTTCAGCCTCTCAGCCCCGAGGCTCTGGAACTCCATCCGCCAGTGCCTTCGCCACTTCCTCCCTCTCCTCCTTCAAGGCCAGTCTCAAGACCTTTCTCTTTGACGGTGCCTTCAGCTCCCCTCTCGACTCTCTACCCCCTCCTCGCTCCCTCCCTTCCCTCCCCTCACCCTGACCATTTCCCCCCTCCTAACTCCCTGCCTCCCCTCAACCTGACTATTTCCCACTGCTCGGGTCCTGACCCAACTGTACAGCGCCTTGGGCCGTCCTCCCAACATGAAAGGCGCTCTATAAATGGAATCGTGTTGTTGTTGTTATAATATATTCTCTCACTGTCTCTCTCTCACTCTGTGTCTCTCACTATTTCAGGCTCTCTCTTTGTCTGTCATACATGGGAGGACTCTCGCTCCCATGCCAACCAGAAGAACGTGCCATACATTTGTTGCAGTATATAGATATATCTCTCTGAATGTGCTTTCCTCTGCCGCTACATAGTTGCAGGATACGTTGCATACCTCAAATTTGGGGGCTTAATTAAAGCATTTTTTGATATAGTTCATTAACAATAGGATGTTCCCCCCCCCCCCACCTCAACAAAAAAAATGCCCATGACACTACTAGATGCAAGACCTTTCAGATGAGGTATAAACGCCTAATAATAATTCCTCCAAAAAACAAAACAATAATAAATTGGTCATTTTCAATCCACGACTGTGGGACATTGCTGTGCGCAATTGGCTGCCGCGTTCGCCCACAAATATAGTCAATTCACTTTACAGTGTGTTCTGTGAAGCGCTTTGGAACGTCCTCCCGACGTGAAAAGCGCTATATCAAATGCAAGGATTATTATCATCAAATGCAAGGATTATTATTATTATTAAATCATGTCTCTATGTCGATTGGTGATTGCCAGATACACTGAGACACAGACAGACAGAAATTGTTGTTTTATTAGTATAGATAATTTGAGCGGTAGTCCCTTACCTCCTTCAAGGCACATCTCAAGATCCTCCTCTTCGATTGTGCCTTTGGTCACCCTCGTACCCCTAGCCTCCCTGCCCTCCACCCCACCTGATCCCAACTCCCAGCTCGGGTCCAAACTACTGATTGTCCAGCACCTTAGGATGTCCTCCTGATGTGAAACGCACTGTGCAAATACAATCTGTTGTTGTTGTTTGAAGGAGTGTTGCACAGACCAGCCAGTTTGGCTCATTGGTAGGACTTGGGGAGGAACACACCAATTAAAGGGGGGAAGGGTGGGGCAGGGAGTCTCCTCTCTCAGCTCCTCTCAACCCTTCAAAAGCCCCGATGGTGTCTTTGCTGAATAAACAGGAAGTTTGCCAGAAGCTAGCCCCTCGCAATGGCAATTGCTTAACACAGTCTTAACGCATTCTCTGGGGTCCCCAAGCCTTGGTTCCTGCCAAACTGCGCTCAAGACTTTCCGGAGTTAAGTAACCATGGTGCGTCCCTCCGGAAAGGAGAGTCAACATAAGAATTGCTAGATGGAAGAAGACCAAGTTCCATCCAGTCCGTCTTCCATCATCCTGGCAGTCACATGCCCACGCCATGTCCCAATCTATGTATTCTACCACGCAACGCGCAATTCATTTCATACAAACAGGAATTTTCATGTACAGGTTGCACTTATGTGTGGAACTCTCAGGTTGGTTTGGATGCCCTCAAGAACGGTGACGGGTGTCTGTATGTGTCAAGTGAACCCCCAGCAGACCAAAAACACCGTTCCAATAGTGCCATTTCCCCCACCCTCACTTACTGCTCTAATAAAATGTGGCCCACACCGCACAGAGGGTCTGTTCCGAAGGAGCTCTGTGTGAGTTCTGTAGTGTAGTGGTTAGAGCACTCGCCTTGCAACCGAGAAGACGCAGGTTCGATTCCTGGGTGGGGCAAAAACCTTAGGCAAGTTTCCTTACTCCACGAGCCTCTGTTTACAAAGCAGTAAATAGGAATCCGGTTGTTAAGTCAATTGTTGGATCGCTTTTCCAGGGTAATCCCTTACAATTTTTTTTAAAAAAAATTTGGTCACTCAATCCATGACCGTTTGTGGACACTGATATGCGCCCACAAAATATAGTCAATTCACTTCATTATATTTTGTGAAATGTTTTGAGACGTCTCATAGATGTATAAGGTGCTTTATCAAATGCAAGAATTATTATTAATATGTGTGCACATTGTGCCAGTGTGGATTAGAGCTTCCTGAGTCCGGAGTGTGTACTGAAAGGAAACATCTGAAGTGGGATCAAGTTCCTTCCTTCAAATGGACTGAAACTGATTCCTGCGCAGTGTGCAATATTCAAATCACAAGCAAAGATAAATATTATGATAATTATAATAAAGAAAGAGTCAGGTGGGGGAAAGGGGAACAGAGGAGTGGGCTCTGGAAGTAGGAGTCAAACTACAAAGAAACCTCCCAATGCAAGGCTGAGATTGGTAATATATCACACACAACAACCCCCCCACCCCCCACACACCTAAACTTGTACACAACCAGTAGAAACTGTTTGAAATAACTAAACCACAAAAAAGTGTTGGCTTGGGAAGAGTTTTATTTCACAACCTTTGTCTTAGCATTATATTCTGTGTCAAAAATCAACTCTACTCCAGCACAAACCACACAGGCTACGAACACGGAGCAGATATCCGATATCCGAGCGGGAGCCGAATGGGCATAAATTTCCTCGGGGAATGTCTATACGCTGGGAGGTTTCAGCCTTCCTGCCAAACCCTACATTCACATCTCTGCTGTTTTCAAGCTTTCAATTTAGTTTCAAGTGAGCACGCAATCACACACACACGCATCCACACACACACCCACTCACGCGCACACAGAGAGGGCAATGCCTGTCCTCTCCTGAAGGGTTTTGATTCCTTTCAAATAGGGTAGAGATTAACAGACGTTGACCAGCGCACGCTCAAGTGGCTATTGTTTATTTCTGCGCCTCAAACACATTGAGCATTGGCATTTCTGTGCTCTGGGAGCCCCCCCCCCATCCTTCCAACACCCACCCCCCTCTCTCTCTCTCTCACACACACACACGTACACTATTTGTTTCTCTCGTGGTCATCCTGACAAGGCAAGAGAAACGTGGATGATTCCAAGTAGAGAGAGAGGGAGAGACGGAGGGAGAAATAAATGGAGAGAGAGGGGGAGGGAGAGAGAGAGAGAGAGAGAGAAAAAGACAGCGAAAAACAGAAAGAGAGAGAGAATGAGATAGAAAGATAAAAAAAGGATCTTTTAATATTCCCATGCTGAGTTTCATCCTGGTTATGCTAGTAGTTTGGCAGCCCACGCCTCAGTCTCTGCTCTGACTTGCTCTGTGGGTATAAAGTGATGCTCCTTCTCCCGGGATGTGCAAAAATTGACGAGGTGCCACACAAACTGGCGGCAGCGACAGCCTGGTCCGGGCTTCCCTGCCCCGATCACTCCTCACATTGAGTTCTTCAATACCAAAAACCACACACACATACCCGAGCCTCAGCTGCTTCCAACCAGACTAGGTCCTGTGCGAGCCATGCGCTCGCTCACTCGCTCTTTCTCTCCCCCGCGACTCTGTAACGTGAATGTCCGCGATCCCGTCTCCACGGTTAATCCCCCTCTTCGGAGGATTCCTCTTCGGCTTCTTCCAGCCACTGGATAAACTTCTGGAGCTACGGGTGTGGAAAAAGAAGATTTGGGAATCAGGCAACATTACAAGACACAATAAAAACAACTTGTATGTATATAGCGCTCCTCACACAGGGTACAGTACCCAGAGCACTTGACAGTGGGAGAACATAACCCCAAACTGGGGGAGGGGACCGTAAGCACGATTTTACGGAAGGTAAGGAAGGTCTTCAGGCATAATCTGAAGACGGGGAAGGAGGGGGCAAGGTGGAGGGATAGAGGGAGAGTGTTCCAGAGTTTTGAGGCGTAGTGGCTGAAAGTGCAGCCACCGATGGTGGAACAGAGGGGATGAGGAACAAGCAGGAGACCAGAGCCAGTCGAGCGGAGGCAACAAATGCGTAGTGGAGTGGGGAGAAAGCAGGTCGGGGAGGTAGGGAGGTGCCAGGGCAAGAAGACATTTTAAGACGAGTGAGAGGATCTTGAAAACAAGATCTTGACACGACACAGCCAAGTAGCATCAATCCTAACCAGAACAAAACCCTGTTCCCCCACGCCACATACCCACACACTGAAACGCACCCAGACTTCACTACCACTGTCCCCCACACACAGAGTCTGTGCAGTCTGAATCTCGGGCAAGTCAGAATCTTGGATTCCTGACCACAGGCATTTTTTTAAAACTCAAACCACTCATTATATAACCACGCCTCAAAAAATTGTTCTCATGCACCTCGCTTTCCCTACTTAGTATCCTGGTCTCCCTCCGCCGGCAGGAATGTGTAGATGTTCTTTTCCGTGCGAGTCAGATGCTTAGCGGAATTAATTAGGGATTGCGGGATGGATATTAGTTGGGGAAATAAGGCTAGCACGGGGTAGGGGGAAAGGCCTGGGAGTAAAGGTTGGGCCATAAATAAAAACAACGATAATAACGTCTCAAAGCGCATCGCAGAATATACTGTAAAGTGGATTGATTGAGTATTTTGAGGGCAAAATTTGGCAGCCAATTGCGCACAGCAACATCCCACAAAGAGTGGTGGATTGAGTGACCGAATCATTATTATTATTTTTTTTGAAGGGATTATTTCTCCCGGAAAGCAATGCGCTGATCGACTAACAACTGGGTTCCTACTTACTGCAGGTAAAAAGAGGCGTGTGGTGTAAGGAAACGTGCCTAAGGCTTCTCTCTTAGGGAATCGAACCCGGGTCCTCTCACTTGTGAGGCAAGCACGCTAACCACTACACAGTGGGACTCTGAACAAAAATGGCAGAAGAGGTTTGACTTCCCTCACAGCTGAAAAACACAACAACTTGCACTTATATAGCCCTCCACGTAGGGTAGCGTCTCAGAGCGCTTAACAGTGGTGGAGCCTGACTCTGAGTCGGGGGAAGGGCAAGGTGGCCATAAGCTCGGTCAAAGAGGAGAGTTTTCAGGCAGGACTTGAAAAAGGGGAGAGGGCACGGTGGAGGGATTCAGGGTGAATGTTCCAGAGCTTTGGGGTGTAGTGGCTGAAAGTGCGACCTCTGATGATGGGGCAGAGGGTGCGAGGGACGAGCAGGAGGCCGGTGCCAGTTGAGCAGAGGTGCCGGTTGATGGACTGGGGAGTGAGGAAGTCGGAGAGGTAGGGAGGTGCCAGAGAGTGAATGGATTTGAACACGAGTGTGAGAATCTTGATGTTGATCCGTTCGGTGATGGTGAGCCAGTGGAGCCTGGAGTTTGGTCCGGGTCAGTATGCCGGTGGGGAGGGGGTCGAGGCAGCAGGTGATGAACTTCATCCGGGTGTTTGTGGTTGAGAGTGAGGAGGGAGAAATGGGGGCAAAGGTGTGTAAGGATTGGGGAGTGGCAGGAGCCGTGGCAGAGGGGAAAGGCGGTGTGGATGGTTTGGGTGGGACACGGCAGGGGTTGGGAAGAGGACGATGCAGCCAAGTGGATGTTTTCAATTTTTGAGGTGAAGAAGTCTAGAACCTCTTTGTACTTGGCGTTTTGATGATGTTCGATGCACCGATCGACTAACAACCAGGTTCCTACTTACTGCTAGGTAAACAGAGGTATGTGGAGAAAGGAAATGTGCCTAAGGTTTCACCCTGCCGGGAATCAAACCCAGATCCTCTCGCTTGCAAGGCAAGCTCGCTAACCAGTACAGGGTGGCTACAGGACATCGTTGGGACAATGGTGGAAGAGGCTTGAAAAATACAGCTAAAAATACAGCTACACTTTGAACGCTTTTGGCACATTCAAGAGAGAGCAGAGAATATAGAGGGCTACGGGTGAGGGATTAGGAGGCTTAGTTGGAGTATAAACATGGGCACGGATTAGTTTGGCCGAATGGCTGCATTCTGTGCAGTAACATTCCACACAATTCTAAATCCCTGACGATACTTTCCATAGGTTTGGTGACGAGAACCACTGCCGTGAGCAAACGTCCACACAGGAGTTGGACTGCACAGAGCGTTGGGCAACAACAACAACAAATTATATTTACACAGCACCTCTCACTTTTGGGAAAACGTCCCATGCCGCTGGATGGTCAGGGAGTCAGGCCCGCCCGACACTAACTCACCCCTTGATGCTTGCGAAGCTTTTTCCCCTGATCGGTAGAGGCGGCCTGAGAGAACCAACGGAAGATGGTCTCCTCTGCTAACACCTCCTGCTGGTAGAACGCCATCAGCACCTAAAGCAGAAACCACACACTTAACAAAATCACTCTGAAGCCTCCACCGACTCCCTGGTTCCCAACAGGTCGACTTCCAGGTCCACACCCTCACCTATTATGGCTGAACACATCAGAATGTTGCAACGTGGACAACATCAGTAGCTGAGCCAGGCTTCGAGAGCTGCTCTATCCTGTGCCTAGATCCCAGCCAATAGTACGTAGAAATAGGAGTAGGCCATTCAGCCCCTTGAGCCTGTTCCACCATTCTATAAGATCATCGCTGATCTGTAACTCAAGTCCAATTACCCTTGTTAACCCTATGAAAACAGTCACTTCAGTTAAGAGGTGATTATAAAACTTCTGACATGATGAGGCACTATAAAGTTACTTTTTTTCTTCTTTCTGAATTGGAATATCGTGAAGTCCTGTAGTGTATCGGTTAGAGCACTCTCCTCACAAGAGAGAGGACCTGGGCTTGATTCCCGGGTGGGGCGAAATTTTGGGCAAGTTTCCTTACTCCACGGGCTTCTGTTTACCCAGCAGTAAGTAGAAACCCGACTGTTAGTCAATTGGCGGATCGCTTTTGCAGCGGGTAATATTCCCTTCAAAAAAAAATAATTTGGTCACTCAATCCACGACTGTTTGTGGGACACTGTTGTGCGCAATTGGCAGCAGCGTTTCATCCACAAAATATACAGTCAATTCACATTACCGTATAGTCTGTGAACCGCTTTGAGACGTCTCAAAGGGGTGATAAGGCACTATACAAATGCAAGGATTATATTATTAATATTGTAATCCCAGCAAACATCTGATCGGCCTGTTTCTATTTCTGTGCTCGGCTTGGCGCAGGGAAGTGGCAGTCTATTACAAAGGAACATTTGTGCAGTCAATAAACTTAATGGCAAACAGGCTAATGGCAGGAAGCAGACATGCATTTACAAACATGGCCAAATTAAAGCGCAGGAAAATTCCTGGTATTAGCCTACAATACCATCTCGCCTTTAATTCTTTTAGATTGCACAGAATTGTGGACAATTCAGTTTTGATTTGTAACAGCAATAACAAATTACATTTACACAGCGCCTTTCACGTCGGGAGGAATTCCCAAGGAGTTGGACAGTCAGGGATTTGGACCTGAGCAGAGGGTGGGATCGGGAGGGGTGGAGGGCAGGGAGGGTGACCAAAGGCATTGTCAGAGTCTTGAGACACGCCTTGAAGGAGGCGAGGGAGCAAGGCTAAGAGAACGTGGGAGTTCCAGAGGGCAGGGGCAGTGTGCCTGAAGGCCCGCCCGCCGATAAGTCACTTTTCTGCCTCTTACAAAACTTGCTACATTTGATCACGATTCGCTTGTGACGTGCTTTGAGAAGTTTGACCTTGAAGGCATTTTATTCTGGATCATTTAACACGGTGTGAAGGACGTGCTTGTCAGAGGGAGCAGGGTGGAATAACCAGCTCCCTTGCCAGCGGTGAGTGGCTTAACTAATACTACATCTGTTAATATTACGCGTGGTTAATCCGAACAAACCTCACCACTTTACTTCCATTCTGCAGCTTGGGCAGACCACGTCTGGTTCCAAGCTGTTAGCTCAGGCTCGTAACCAGCAGATGATTGCTCACTGGGTATCGCTAGTGCTGCCAGCCAGTCCTGTACGGTATAAGGCTCCAACAACAGGTTCCAACCCATTCAGACAACAACCTGAGCAACAACTCACGGGAGCCAATGGTGAAATGTGGAATTTGATCACACACCCTCAGCGGCCTCAACACTCACCTTTATATAATAATAATCGTTGCATTTGGTATACAACAACTTGATTTATATAGCGCCTTACCACATCGCTGAGATGTCTCAATTCACTTCACAGGATATACTGTGGAGTGGATTGACTGCATTTTGTAGGCAATATGTGGCAGTTAATTGCGCACAGCAGTGTCCCACAAACAGTCGTGGAGTGAGTGACCACATTATTATAATTTTTTTTGGACCGTAACAAAAACAACTTGCACTTTACATAGTGTTGTTGCCTTATGAAAATGTCTCGAAGCAGCTTAGAGACAGTGCGATCCTGAGCTGGTTGAGCGAGAAGAGGCAGGTGCCAATGCAGTTGAGGAGACAGGATGATAGAGGTGGGGCTCAAACTGCAAAAAATTCAGCAGAAAATAGTGATTCATAAGAAAAGGAGGAAGAGATTATTTGAAGAGATAAAGAAGGTTGTTAAAATGTGAAGTGATTTAGCACACATGGCTGCCGAAGCTAAGGTCATGACAGTATTTAAAAGGGAATTGGATAAACACTTGAGGGAAATGAACATTAAAGGGTTTGGCAAGGAGCAGCAGAATGGGGTTAGAGAGTAGGGGAGCGAGCACCAGCCGACACGATGGGGGGAGAGAGAGAGCAGGGAATGGGGTAAGAGTAGAGAGCTCCAGTGGGGGAGTGAGCCCCAGCACAGACACCATGGGGCGAGAGAGAGAGAGGAGGGAATGGGGTAGAGTAGAGAGCTCCAGTGGGGGAACGAGCCCCAGCACAGACCAATGGGGGAGAGAGAGAGAGAGGAGGAATGGGGTAGAGTAGAGAGCTCCAGTGGGAGCGAGCCCCAGCACAGACCAATGGGGAGAGAGAGAGAGCAGGGAATGGGGTTAGAGTAGAGAGCTCCAGTGGGGGAGCGAGCCCCAGCACAGACACCATGGGGGGAGGGAGAGAGCAGGGAATGGGGTTAGAGTAGAGCTCCAGTGGGGGAGCGAGCACCAGCACCCACTGTTGTAAACTTTTTATGAATCCCTCAATTGAAGCAAAGCGATAAAAAATATCTAAATGCAGATCATGCACATGGCGTATCAAACAAAGTAATGGGAGACTGACAGGAAGTTACAGGCCAGTAATTCAACTGAAGGGTCGGGTTTATTAGCGCTGTCAGAACTGGGAGACGCAGTTATTGGCAGACACTGCGCTTCCCCATATGTGAGGTTAGTGCTGGAAGCAACAGACAGCTGCACTAAACTGGTTCCAGTCCTTGTGGTGAACACTTGGCAGGTGAAAGAGGAGTTCAGCCTGATGAGGCGAAAGGGTAATAGACTGACTGGCATCACAACACAAACACCAGTGTAGTCAGTTATACTCGCACACAGGAGCGTGTGTTGGTGCGTGAGATTGTGTGCTTAAGTCTGTGCGTGCATGCGAGTGAGAGAAGCAAACGGGCAACATTAACAACACATTACATGCACACAGCGCCTTTCATGTCGGGAGGACGCCCCAAAGCTCTGGACAGTCAGTGATGTGCTCGTGAGCTGGGGTGGGTGGGATCAGGAGGGATGGAGGCCAGGGAGGGAGGGGGCAGGAGGGTGACTGAAGGAGGGGTAGAGGGAGGTCTTGAGATGGACTTTAAAGACAGCAAGTGCATGTGAGTCAGCAAGCTTCAGTGAGACAGAGGGAGGCAATGAGGGTGAGACAAAGAGAGAGGAAGGCAGAGAGAGTCTCTGAGCCATTGTGCTGTGGGCAGCTAAACCAGGGCGGCCCAACTGGCAGCCCAGGGGCCGAATCCGGCCCCCAAACCATTTCCAACTTCATTGTCCGACGAGCAACTACAGGTGACTCTCAGGCCCCAAGCCAACCAGGAGACTGTCACCAGAGTCTCAGGCTCTGTCCGGCAACGGGATAAAATATTGCTTACGTGGCTCTCTAAGTGGTGAAGGTTTGGTGGGATCTACCTTGACAAGGGAGAGACTGAGGGCTTCCTGTTCGGTGAAGAATTCCTCAATGGCCACCAGGCAGTCCAGCTGATCAGACGCTCTCTTCACATAGTTTTTGAACACAGGCATCCACCGCTTCAGGAGCTGGAGAGGAAAAGGGTGAAAATAACAGCTTCACAACTTTAATCTTCATATTTGCAGATAGTTGGTAACACAGCCGTGATTATATTACCGGTTAGCAATACATTTATATCGTAAACATACATTTATTTCACGTCAACTCACAGCGCTTGAAACGCTTGGACTCTCTGGTCACGAGGGAGGGCCATTCACTGCTTGCTTTTTTTCAATCTAGATTTTTCCCCCCCATTTCAAACACGTGTGACCAAAAAACAGGGGAAAATCAGGCTTGACTACACAAACTCCCTGCTTGTCGGCCTTCCCAACGTCTTCCTACAGAGGCTGCAGATCTTCCAGAACTCTGCAGCCCGTGTCCTCTCTCGCACCAGGTTCTGTGACCCTATCACTCCCATCATCAACTGACACCACCGGCTTCCCATCACACAGAGGATACAGTTCAAGATCCTGGTCCTCATCTTCAAAGCCCTCTATGGCCTTGCTCTCCCTACCTCTGCGGCTTCCAAGCTGTCCGCTCCCTCCCCTCAGTGGGCTCCCCTCAGCCTGCTTCACGTCCCCCGCCTCACCTGCCCCACCCCTGACGGGTGGGCCTCTGCCACTCTGCCCCCATCATCTGGACTCCATTCTGCAAGTCCCTCTGCCTCGCTCCCTCTCTTGCCTCCTTCAAGACCCTCTTCTTCGACCGTGCCTTTGATCAACCTCCTTCCCCCCACTGCCCGGCCTCCAACTTCTCCGATCCCGACCCCCAGCTCGGGTCCGAAACCCTGACTGTCCAGTGACTTGGGACATCCTCCCGACCCAAAAGGCACTATACACATGTAAATTTGTTGTTACTGTTGTAAAGAGAGCTAACACAACAAGGGCTGGAGTCCACTCAGGCTTGAATGGAAAAAAAACACAAAATACTGCAGATGCTGGAAATTCGAAACAAATACAGAAGCGGCCGGGAACACTCAGCAAGTCAGGCAGCATCTACGGAGAGAGAAAAGTGAGGTAACCTTTTGGGTCCATGACACTTTGTCATGTTCTGACGAAGGGTCGTTGACTCACTTTCCTTTCTCCATAGATGCTGCCTGACCTGCTGAGTGTTCCCGGCCACTTCTGTTTTTGTTTTAGGCTTGAATGGAGTTGTGGTAATTGGCACCAGGTCTAAGGGATAATTGAACCCAATATAAGGCTGGGAAATGTGAGGGGAAAGTGTGGAGAAGACAGATCTACAGAACTTCCTTGTTAAAATAATCCTTGGATTTGATATAGCACTGTATCAAGGTGTCTCAAAGTGCTTCACTGAATATACTGGAAAGTGAATTAACTGTATATTTTGCGGGTGAAACACAGCAGGCAATTGCGCACAGCAGTGTCCCACAAACAGTCATGTTTTCAGTGACCAAATTATTATTTATATATATTTTTTGAAAGGATTATTACCCCTGGAAAAGCTATTCGCCAATCGAGTTTAACCGGGTTCCTCCTTACGGCTAAGTAAGCAGAGGTGTTTGGAGTAAGGAAACTTGCCCAAAGTTTCGTCCTGCCCGGAATCGAACCCAGGTCATCTTGCTTGTGAGGCGAGTGTTCTAACCACAAAGCTACAGGACTCCAAAATAAATCTTTCTTTTTTTTGCTAAGACTATTGTGCAAAGTTTTGTTTTTTGTGCTCTATCCCCTCCTGCAGGGGACAGAGCACGAGCCAAGTTAGATGGTACAACACTGTCCCATTTTGAGGCAAGCTGATCGACACACGACTCAGTGCAGTCCTCAGCACAAACCTAGCTGCTGTTCAGCAAGTTCACTCAAGACAACTCACATGGGGAAAATTATTACACTGATGTAATTAGAAGCATGATTCTTGAAGATTGAGGTCCAAGTTCAAGCTTTGTGGTAGTTTACAGAAAGCTCTGTGTCGCACTGCAATTCAGACAGATTTATATAGCAACTGGGGCTGAGGTTGCAATTTGTTTCCTTTCCCCTGTAATGCCGATTTGGGTTAGAAATGAAAGGAGGACAGAAATGTAGGAATAGCGGAAACACAAACACGTATTGGATATTCAGGAGTGCCATGTGGTGCTGAGAGCACATGGGGACTCAGGTTGATTGGTACCAGCCACATGGACTGCACTGGGTTTTTCAGTGCTGTAAGTTCCTGGGTATCTATTTTGGACGAATGGATGGGACACAGAAAGCCTCGTTACTGCTCGTTAATGGAAACAAGCATCAAGTCCATTCTCGGCATCAGTTCGTTTCAATCAGGATTTTCTACATCTGTTTATTCATTGCGCTCTATTCCACTCCCACACCCCCCCCCACCCACCGCCCTCCCCGCCACACATCCTGGATGACTCCCTCCCTGTTGCAATGTGGCACACGCCACCTTGTGGCCACGCTAAGAACATGCCATAGCGCTGCCGGCGACCACAGAACCTAACGTAAGAAGACAAGCAAAAGCACGTCCGAGCTACGCTCCATTCAACCATCACCACAAACAACCCAAATAAACACAGTTTATAAACAACCACAGCGTGATGTAACGGAGAGTAGGTAGAAAACAGCCTTGCTCCTCCCTACCTCTGTGGCCTGCTAACTCCACACCGACCTGTCCACTCCCTCCATTCAGTGGACTCTGGCTCGCTCCACAAACCGCACCATCTGCCCCACCAAAGGCAATCGGGCCTTCAGCCTTCCTGCCCCCTACCCTTTGGAACTCCACCCCACAGTCACTTTGCCCCATCCCCTCCCTATTCTCCTTCAAGACCCCCCTCTTTGACCCTCTTCAGTCACACTCCTACCCCCTACCCTTCCCGCCCTCCACCCATCCTGATCCCAACCCCCAGCTCAGGTGCAAGTCCTTGACTGTCCAGCGCCTTGGGATATCCTCCCGACATGAAAGGCGCTGTACACATGTATTGTTATTGATGTATTATGTAGGATGGAGATGAAAGGTTCTCTACTCACAGAGAGGACGGTGTTGCTGTACTGCACTGAGCCCACCCCAGGCCCGTGCTGTTGCAATGGCATCTCCAAAACTACCTTCATTGTAATCTGCATCACATCCTTCAGAGTAATGTTATACGCATACCTGAAAATCAGTCAGATTCACATAGAGGAACACAAGTTTGATAAATGTGCGAGCGGGAGAAGGGGGTCATGCACTAAACAAAGCGTTAAGTGGAGATTATTAAATGCAATTATTAAATTCAATTTGCACCCGTATTTCGTCCACAGAATACAATCAATTCACTTTACAGTATATTCTGTGAAGTGCTTCGAGACGTCTCAACGGCACTATATCGAATGTAAGGATGATTATAATTACAACAAAGTGCTTCAAAATTCTGAAAGGTTTTGAGTGGTAGTTAGTAATAAACTACTCCTGCTGATTGGTCACAAACTGGGCCTGAGCTCAAGAGTTTTACAGGAAGAGTTAAGGGGAGGTCAGAAATTAGTTTTTTTCCATGCACAAAATGCTTTGTCACACAAGTGACGACTGAGGTTAAGACAATAACTGTCCAGCACACTGGAGCCTGGTCTGAAAATGACAAGCATTGAGACGTGAACATGTGCAAAGTTACACTCTTGTAAATATTGAAATATCCGACCTTCAAGTGGGACACGGGGTCCCATTGCAGTCGGGAGAGCTTTAACCCTGCAAACATAGTAAAAATAATCCTTGCATTTGATTTAGCGCCTTATCACATCTTTGAGTCGTCCAAAGCGCTTCACAAGATACACTGTAAAGTGGAGTGACTGTGTATTTTGTGGTTGAATCACGGCAGCCGATTGCGCACAGCAGTATCCCACAAGCAGTGGTGGATTGAGTGACCAAATTATTATTATTTTTTTAAATTTTATTTTGAAGAGATTATTATCTCCGGAAAAGTAATTTTACTTACAATGTAACTAAGGTTACACAGGTCTTACATTACACAGACATGGTCCCTGACCGCACAATTTCTTCCAATTACTTGGAGGAAGTATCTGGAGCCCTGTAAACACCCACCACAGCCGATAATTGAGAAATTGCACAAACTAACCCCCATCCCCTCAAACTGCACTTCACACTGAAGCTGCTATGATGTGCTTTTCAATTACACCCGGCAGCCCCCGCAAACACTGTAATTCTACTATAAATGGTTTGTAAATGATAAAAGCCCATTCAGTCTCAAGTGGGCAAAGATTATACACTGTTTTTCCAGGCTGTAATTGGCTCCCCAGCCAATACAATTCTCACTCTCATGCAAATTCACATCGACTCCAATTGATCATTCATCTTACTCCTGTGTGTGGGGGGAACCCTGTGTGTGTGTGTGCGTGTGTGTGTGTTTATGGGGGGCTAGCCGCCATGTTTTCCTATATTGCAGTTACTACATTTAAAAAAATCAATGTGTGGCATTTTATAATCGTTATAAAAGGATCTTTTTAAAAATATTTTATGCCGTAGTTAGTTAGTACATTCGCCTCGCAAGCGAGAGGAGCTGGATTTGACTACTGGACGGAGCAAGTTCCTTACTCCTCACGCATCTGTTTACCTAGCAGTAAGTAGGCAACCAGTTGTTAGTCAATTGGCGGATCGCTTTGTGGGGGGACTAAATTTGTTCACGCAATCCATGACTGTTTGTGGTGATGTTTCCAATTGGCTGCCGCGTTTTGCCCACAAAATATAGTCAATCCACTTTACACCATATTCTGTGAAGCGCTTTGAGACTTCTCAATGATGTGATAAGGCGCAATATTAAGTGCAAGAATCATTATTATTATTATTAATATTATGTTTGCCGGATTAAAGCTCTCCCACGATTTTAAAAAAATCAAAATCAACGTGTGGTGTTTTATAATCCTTGCATTTGATATTGAGCCTCATCACGTTGCCCCAATTTACTGATCTCTGCCATGTGGTCAACGCAAGAGCAGAAGTTGAACGCAATCTCATGAAGCACTTCAGAGTGGGAACAGAAGTGTGTGAACCTGCAGCATCAATCCTCGGTTCATCACAAACAAACCCGGTGGGAATAGAGCCGCAAAGCGTGAAAGGGACTCACTTGAGAGAGTTGATCTCCAGCACCAGGTTGTCACAGGAGATGTTCTCTTCCAGCCCTCGCTGTAACGTGCCCAGAACTTCATTCTGAAACACTGCAGCAAAAACACAGAATCTCAGAAATTACAGTGGTGTCCAGGTAGCCATCAAGCCTATGCTAGTGCCGGCTCCCCCACTGGTGCTAACTTGTCCAATAATAACATCTGCATTTCCTTCAGCGCTTTTCACGTCAGGAGGGCGCCTGAAAGCGCTTAATGGGACTTCCTGTAAAGTGACTGTACATTTTGCAGATGGACCCCAATTCCAATCCCCGCTCTTTCCCTTTAATACTCTTCCTCGTCAAATGCTTCTACTTATTCTTTTCCTCTCGAAATACTCTAATGGTGACAGTCAATGAGACAAAGAGTTCCATATAATAACAAGCCTCTGTGAGACTGGGTTATTTTCTAACAACAAACTTACATTTGTATAGCGCCCTTCACATCGGGAGGACGTCCCAAGGCACTGGACAATCAGTGTTTCGGAACCGAGCTCGGGTTCAGGGAGGGTGGAGGATGGGGGGCGGGGGGGGGGGGGAAGGAGGGTAATCGAAAGCACGGTTGAAGAGGAGGGTCTTGAGATGGGTCTTGAAGGAGGCAAGGGAGGGGGGGGCGAGGTGGAGGGACTGCGGGATGGAGTTCCAGAGGGTGGGGGCAGAGTGGCAGAAGGCCCGCCCGCCAATGGTGACATTGACAATGGTGACATTGACACGGCGCTGGTAACCTCCTCCGATGACAATGCTGAGTTTACACCCCAGACTAAATGATTTCCCAACCTGCAGGAATAATCTATCACTACTTTTCCTCTCAAAAACTGTTCCGAGTTTAAGATCTCTAGTAGGTCCTCTTTGAACGCCCTCTATTCCAGTAGAAACCGCACACATGACCCAGCGATCGTGCCTACAGCTCCCTCACCTTTGTCATCGTCCAACTGGGGCGAAATAATTCTGCTGTCCAGCTCTTGTGAGCTCACACTCATCTCACTTTCACTCTCGGTCCCGGACTCTGGGTTCAGAGTTAGACCTGAGAGAACAACAATGTCAATCAATGTCTCACCCGAGTTTACTAGAACTCAACAGGTAACAGTGGAGCTGTTAAACGTCACGAGTAAACGTGACTTAACACATTTCATGATGCTCTTAGGTTATAATAATAATCTTGCAATTAATATAGCGCCGTATCACCTGGGCCAAGAGAAAAGTGCGGCCGCAGTTTTTCCACGGAATCCGCTAAACACACACCCCTCCGCTACACACTCGCTCCCTTACACACACACCTCCGCTACACCCCCCACACCCCGCTACACACTTCCCTCTGCTACACACACATACCTCCACTACACACAAACCTCTACTTCACACACACCCCTCTGCTACACACATACACCATTACACACAGCCTCCACTACACACAACCGCTACAGACTCCCACCCGCTACACACACACACCTCCCGGTACACATTTCCTTGTATTAATAATAATAATAATAATAATCCTTGCATTTGATATAGCGCTTTTCACGTCGGGAGAATGTCCCAAAGCGCTTCACAGAACACACTTTAAAGTGAATTGACTGTATATTTGTGGGCAAACGCGGCAGCCAATTGCGCACAGCAATGTCCCACAGTCGTAGATTGAAAATGACCAATTTATTATTGTTTTTGGTTTTGGAGGGATTATTATTAGGCTCTGTGTGGAGTAAGGAAACTTGCCCAAGGTTTCACCCTCTGCCTGGAATTGATTATTACGCACCTCCCTCCCCTACACACACAAAGCCTTCTGCTACAACCCCTCCCCCCGTCCCACTACACTACCCCCACTACACACACATCCCTCCGCTACATACGCACCCTCCCCTACACACGTTCCCTTTCTCTACACACGTTCCCCTATACACAACCCCTCCTCTACAACCCCCACTACACATATCCTCTGCTACACACACACCCTCCACTACACAAACCGCTACACACCCTCCTCTCCTACACACGAGCACCCTCCCCTACACACACCCCCTCTGCTCCACACACACACACCATCCCCTACACGCAAACCCCTTTGTGTCTGTGGGTGTGTCTCTCTCTGTGCGTGGTGGCAAGCCCAGAGAGGCAAGCGGTGGTGACCTCCTGTAAGTCGGCAGTAAAATATACCTCTCAATAGCACTAATCACCCCCCGCAATTTTCCGCACAAATTAGCAAACTTCCCGCAATCTTTGGCAAATATTTCCGCAATTTTCTATTGGCCCCACTTATCACGTCATTGAGACTTCTCAAAGGGTTTCAAAGAATATACTGTGAAGTGGAGTGTATTTTGTGGACAAAATGCAACAGCCACTTGGGTAAAGCAATCTCCCACAAGCAGTCATGGATTGAGCGACCAAATTATTATTATTGTTTTTCCCACCCTGGGAATCGAACACGGGTCCTCTTGCTTGCGAGGCATGTGCGCAAATCACTATACTGCGGAGCTCCAAGTAATGGAGCAGTTAACGATCACAATAGGGGAGGGGGAAGAGCGCTGAGAATCAACAGAACCTGTCCAACTATGTCATATTTAAGGAGTAAACAGACACTGGGGAAAAGAAAAAGGATCCACTACGCAACCTCAGTGCCAGTGTAGCCGCAGGAGTCGTTAGGTGGAATCTGTCACTTCCTCTTGACGATGGATCGAATGGCCTGCTTTCCGTGCAGTAAATTTTCCTTTCTCTGCCATTCCCAAGCCACCCCTCTCGGCTGCTGGCTGACAGCACGCTCTCTGCTGCTCGTGACCCAGATGAGGGCCGTTGCTTTCATAGGTAAACGAGCGACATGAACAGCTCAGGGCACTGAAACCCGCTCAGTTCCTTACCCCACAGGTTCTGCAGCAGCTCCTCGTCCTCAGCGTCACTCTCGTGAGCTACTCTCCAGATGTAGCCTCTGCCCTCGGACCCTACCTCGTCCTGGTTATAACCTGAACAATGGACGAGAATCTCGATATAAGAGTAATAATAATCCTCACATTTGATATAGTGCCTTATCACATCTTTGAGACGTCTCAAAACGGTTCACAGAATATACTGTGAAGTGAATTGACTGTATATTTTGTGGGCGAAACGTGGCAGCCAATTGCGCACAGCAGCATCCCACAAACAGTCATGGATTGAGTGACCAAAATACATATTTATTTAAAAAAAAAATTTTTTTGAAGGGATTATTACCCCCCCGAAAAGCGATCCGCCAATCACCTAACCGGAATCCTACTTATTGCTAGGTAAACAGGAGTGTGCAGTAAGGAAACTTGCCAAAGGCTTTACCCTGCCCGGGATTGGAACCCAGGTCCCCGGGCTTGCGAGGCGAGTGCTCTAACCACTAAGCTACAGGACTCCACAGGCACTGCATCCTAACATTTTTATCCGACAGAACACGACGAAAGCTTGTGAAAAGAGACACAAACAGATTTTATTATATCTCTTGCAAACACGAGAGTTGCTTCAATACTTACAAAGCCCTTCACAGCCTCGCTCCTCCCCACCTGTGACCTGCTAAACCACACCGAACTGTCAGCTTCCTCTGCTCAGCGGGCTCTGACTTGATCCATGTCCTCCGACCTACCTGTCTCACCATAGGCCTTCAGCCTTTCTGACCCCACCCTTTGGAATACCACAGTCCCTCCGCTCATTCCCTCCCTTGCCTTCTCAACACCTTCCTCTTCAATCACGCCTTTGGTCACCCTCCTATCCCCACCCTCACTGCCCTCCACCCCTATTGATCCCAAACCCCTGACTGTCCAGCGCCTTAGGACGTCCTCCCGATTTGTAAGTTGTTGTTCAGACACTGCGCAGAGCCAGAGCTGCTCACCTTTCACCTTGGTTTTTGACTCTAAGTGATTCACTCCTGCGTCATCACTGAACTCATCGTCATCCTCCTCCTCCTCCTCGTCTGGCAGGTGCATGGAGATGATGGTGCCTTCAGCCAAGGACAGGTCCGGCCCCACTGTCACCTAGTGAAGCCAGAACCACATCCAACGTGAGCTCACAACAACAACTTGCATTTATATAGCGCCATGCAGGGTAGCGTCTCAGAGCTATATGGGGGGGGAGGGGTGGGCACATGGCCGTAAATGGCCGTAAGCACGGTCGAAAAGAAAGATTTTCATGGGAGACTTGACAAAGGGGAGGGGGCAAGGCGGAAGCTTTAAGAGAGTGTTCCAGTTTCTGGGCATAGTGGCTAAAAGCGCGGCCTCCAATGGTGGGGCAGAGGGCGCAAGGGACAAGCAGGAGGCCGGTGCCAGTCGAGCGGAGGCGCTGGGTGATGGATTGGGGAGTGAGGTTGGGGAGGTAGGGAGGTGCCACAGAGTGAAGCAATTTATAATAACAACAATAATCCTTGCATTTGATATAGAGCTTTTCACGTCTTCTCAACGTCTCAAAGCGCTTCACAGAATATACTGTAAAGTGAATTGACCGTATATTCTGGGCGAACCGCGGCAGCCAATTGCGCAGAACAGTGTCCCACAAACAGTTGTGGATTGAAAATGACCAATTTATTATTGTTTTGTTTTGGAGGGACTTTTATTAGACGTGTGGAGTAAGGAAACTTGCCCAAGGTTTCGCCCTCTGCCTGGAATTGAACCCAGGTGTCTCGCTTGCGAGGCGAGTGCTCTAACCACTGAGCTACAGGACTCCACACGATTGAACACGATTGTGAGGATCTTGAAGTTGATCCGTTCAGTGATACGGAGCCAGTGGAGCCTGGCCAGAACTGGTGAGAAGTGGGTACGGAGTTTGGTCCAAACCAGTAAGCGGTCAACAGAGTTCTGAATGAGCTGGATTTTTTGAATAGTAGAGCTGGGGAGACCAGCGAGGAATGCGTTTGAGTAATCCAGGCGGGAGGTGACAAACACATGCACAAGGGTTTCGGCTGCATTTGGGGTAAGCGCTCTGAGACTCTGGAGGACGCTGTATAAATCCAAGTTGTTGTTGTTGTTATTGTAAGGTACGGTCGGAGGCGGGCAATGTGGTGAAGGTGAAGGAAGAAGGCGGTTCTGGTCAGGGACCGGATGTGCAGGGAGGAAGGACAGCTGGGACAATCTAAACCGGACGCCTAGATTGCGCACTGGTTCGGTGAGTCTGAGGGAGAGCCTAGGATGGATGAGGAGTTTAGATTCACAAGACGTTAACGGGAGGCAAGGAATATGGCTTCCATCTTGTCCATATTCAGCTGCAGGAAGCTTGCACTCATCCAGGCCGATGTCTGGCCCACCTGCTCCATCACCACCACACACACAGTCCAGAGTTTCCTCTTAGCACATGAGAAACGCTGGAACACTCTTCCTCTATCCCAACGCCTTGCCCCTTCCTTCCCCATTTTCAGATCATGTCTGAAGACCTTCCTCTTCAATCGTGCCTACTGTCAACCCCCCACTCCCCCCAGCTCTGCGCCGTGCTCCGCCACTGTCAAGCGCTCTGGGACACTGCCCTGCGTGAGGGGCACTATATAAAAGTAAACTGTTGTTGATGAAATACATGACTCGATCATTATTGTCACAGTTAAAAAAAAACTTAAGAAAAATTGCATCATTAGTTTAGCCACAATGGGGTGAGAAATTGTTCTCCTGGAGGTTAATCACTGGCACGGAAGGGGGAGAGAGTGACACGCCTGCCTACCGACAGTTCTGCTTTGCTACTCACATTGAATGCTAGCACGCAGTGTTCGTTCAGCTTAACGCCAGGTTTCACCTCCACTTCACTGCACACCACCGACCTGTTGATCTCCACCTTGTCTCCAATACGGACGTTATTCCAGATGTAAGCATGATCCAGTTTGACGTCATCGCCTAAAGCAACAACCGACTGGTCAGAAAATAAACGGCAAAGTACTGCAGATATTGGAAATCTGAAACAAAAACAAAAGTCGCTGGCAACACTCAGCAGGTCAGGCAGCATCTATGGAGAGAGGAAAGTGAGTTAACGTTTCAGGTCGATGCATACTCACACGATAATATACACACACACTCAAAACACTCACATGACTTGACCTGAAACGTTAACCCCTTTTCCTCTCTCTATAGATGCTGAGTGTTCCCAGCAACTTCTGTTTTTAACCAACTGGCCATTCATTCTCAAAACACAGTGAAACCGCCCCTTCATGGAGCTTGTACAAGGCATTGGTACAGCCTCACCTGGAGTCTGACTTATAGATTACAGTAGAGCCCTCCTGACATTTGTAGCAAACAGTAACTAGATTGACAGCTGGTATTAGGCACTTGGGGAGTGTTCCTACTGGAGAGGGGGGAGCTCAGGGGAAATCTTATTAAAGCAATCAATATCCTAAAGCGTAGAAACTCACAGGAGGCAGTGAAATCAGATGGTGTCAGCAAATTCAAGAATTCAAGAGAAAGGCATTATTTGAGGTGTGTGTGTGAGTGAGAGAGAGGGGGAGTGTAGCATGATTTTTTTTGTTGGATCAGTGAAACAAATGATCTTTTTCATTGTAATGTTAATACTGAACTCCGATTTGCAGGTTAAAACTCCTCAGTGGCAGATGCAGTGCAGAGACATGGTTAATAATATTAAAATCAGCCATGTTTTAGGGCATTTATAATGAAATGGCAACTGAAGAACTGAGTGAAATCAAAACGGCCTTTAACGAGCAATACTGTCACCCGCCCACATTCAAGCAAAATTGCATCTCGCATTAAACAAATGTCTTGAAGCACTGTACAAAAGAAAATATATAAGTAGTGACAATGAATATTGTGTCGCAGGTAATTATGCGTGTTTTGGCTTGCTGCACCAACGTCAATGACATTCTCGAACATGTAACAGATCAGCAGCTGATCCAATATCTGAACTCACAGTCTAGGCTGACACCTCAGCACACTGCTGGGGAGAGAGCTACATTCAGTCATTCAGACGAGACATTCAGGTCCACTCTACATGTTCTTCAGGTGGATGCTGTCAACGCCGCATCTGAACGCTAATAGCACTTATCATGTCTTTGAGACGTCTCAAAGCGCTTCACAGAATATACTGTAAAGTGGATTGACTGTGTACTTTGAGGGTGAAACATGGCAGCCAATTACGCACAGCAGTGTCCCACAAACAGTCGTGGATTGAGTGACCAAATTTTGTTTTAAGGGATTATTATACCCAGAAAAGCAATCCGCCAATCGACTAACAATCAGGTTCCTACTTACTGGTAGGTAAACAGAGGCGTGTGGAGTAAGGAAATGTGCCAAATGTTTCACACTGCCCGGGAATTGAACCCTGGTCCTTTCACTCACAAGGCGAGTGCTCGAACCAATACATTACAGGCACTCCACAACTCTGAAGTTTTACGAGACGTTCTGAAGTGCTATAAGGCGCTTATAATGATGCAAGTCCTTTCTTCAAACTAAACATTGATTTGCACCGCTTGGTGCAAACATACCTATAACGCAGTTCTGGCCGATGGCACTGTTTGTTATGAAGCAGTTTGCCCCAATGACAGAGCCATTGCCGATCAGCACATTCTCCTCCACCACGCTGCCCTGCCCCAGGCTGACCTCCGGCCCCCGGTAGATGTTGTGCCGGGAGTGTGTGGCTGCGTTCTTCTGGTCGTCGGTGAGGTTCATTTCGGGGGTCATGGGGTAGACCCAGCGCCGGATGACATCCGAGCACACGGCATCGTACAGAAGGAGGTTGGACACTCTCACTCCGTACTCATCGCTCGTGACGTGCATGTGAATCTGGTTACCTAAGATCTGAACACACGCAACAGAGAGGGAAGTTCGTTAGCATTTCCTCACCTAACAAGGTTGAGATGGAGGTGGCTGAGAGAGAGAATTAATAATAATAATCCTTGCATTTGATATTGCGCCTTATCATGTTTTCGAGACGCCTCAAAGCGCTTCACAGAATACACTGTAAAGCGGATTGACTGTATATATTTGTGGGTGAAACACGGTAGTCAATTGTGCACAGCAGCATCCCACAAACAGTCATGGATTAAAGTGACCAATTTATTATTATTAATTTTTTGTGGAAGGAATTATTATGTATGAATTATGTGAAATGCAACGTACGTAAGGACAGGCTATAGGTGTCCTTACCACAAGGAAGGAAGATTTAGAAAAACCCTGTGTGGCATATGTTTGTCTTCGGAGAAAGATTCTGCCCACGTGGAACATTGCCCAGATGCTGTTAACAGCAGCTCGGAGACCCAAAGCTTTAGAGTTTTACCGATCACAGTAGGTTTTTAACCACAGGCTGACCGTTACCGGAAAAAACCATTGCACAAACCCAGCATTAACCTCCAACCCCTGGGGCCAGTTACCACCACAGTTGCATAGCACTGCGATTCCATCTGCTTCTCTGCCCAATCACAAAACAACGTAAAGCAGCACATTGAATAGAACCAATAATTAAAAAGTGCTCAATTTTGCATCTTTGGAAGAGAGGAAAAAGCCATTTGATAAATATAGGTTTGCAGAAACAAAAATAGTTCAGCGCTACATTAACAACAACAACAACAAGATTCCATTTATTGAGCGCCTTTCACGTCGGGAGGACGTCCCAAGGCGCTGTACAGTTGGGTCAGGACCCGAGCAGGGGGGAAATGGTCAGGGTGAGGGGAGGGAAGGGAGGGAGCGAGGAGGGGGTAGAGAGTCGAGAGGGGAGCTGAAGGCACGGTCAAAGAGAAAAGAGAAATTAAAACCCCAATCAAGTGCTCAGTGACCCTACCCTACGTGAGGGGATCTATATAAATGAAAGCTGTATTTGTAACTCCATAATTGATTTCATACTCACTTTTAAGCTGATCATTAGGCATTTGCCAACAAAAACACACAGTCACTCCACTTTATAGCAAATCCCATGAAGCACTTTGAGACGGCACCCTGACGTAAAAGGCGCTGTATCAAATGTAAGCATTATTATTATTATGTTTCTATTATTCTATGTCCACTGTATCTTTACATCAACAGAACCAGATGTAATATGTCCATTTGGAGTTACAGGCAAATTCAGTTACACGCAGACAAAACACACGGGTAAATCCAAGCTCAAATGATATATAGGGCCCCAGTGGTCAAATTTCTATGCCCATTATTTCTCTAGATGTGGTTCCTTTGCAGAAAAAATCTGTTTTACTATTAAAATACCGCAGATATGCAACCATGCAGATAATTATTAATAGGCAGAGGGAATACAAACAGAAAGCAGATGGGGACGTAGGGATTTGAATCCATTTGCTACGCCGGAACACAGAGAGAAAAAAAAAGTAAGAACAAATCTTCCCAGGAGCTGATAGTGGGTTCAATTTAGTGACACGTTCAATATTTATCTTATTGAATATTCCCTGGCTGTGCCGGAGGCAGACAACAGTCCTCCCCCTCCCATCATCATTCACCCACGGTAATGATCACACAGCTATGCCTGAGGTAGGCAATGCTTCAACATAGTTAATAATCCTTGCATTTGATAAAGCGCTTCATCTTCGCAACGTTTCAAAGCGCTTCACAGAATATACTGTAAAGTGAATTGACTGTATGTTTTGTGGGCGAAACAATGCAGCCAATTGCACACAGCAGCATCCCACAATTAGTCATTGATTGAGTGACCAAATTATTTTTATTTTTTTGATTGGAGAGATTATTACCCCCAGAAAGCGATCTGCCAAATAAAACCCGGGTCTCCTTGCTTACTCTAACTAAAGTATATTACAGGATTCCACTAACTGGTTACCAATTTGTTTTGAGGGGGGGAAGGGGGGGGAATTACAGATCAAAAAAAAATTAGGCATTACACTAACAGATTTAAGAAAAAAACACACAACATTTTTGGAAATTAAAAGTATTTGGGGGCTTTTATACTTTTATACGCCCATAAAATACACATTAAATTCACTTTACAATATATTGTGTGAAGGGCTTTGAGAAGTCTGGACAACATGATAAAGCGCTATATCAAATGCAAGGATTATTATTATTGTTAATAATCCTTGTGTTTGATGCATTCCCTTATCACAACAAGATGTTTCAAAGTACTTCCCAGGATTTTACTGTGAAGTGAAGTAACTGTGGATTTTGTAAACCTACACTGCAGCCAATTTGTGCACCACAACATCCCACAAATACCTAAGAAGCAAATGAGCAATGTCATCTCACGATGAGATAGATGTGTCTAAAGAATCTATTGGGAAGTCAGATGGGTAGCGGGAAGGAATAATAGTCAACCTCCTGCCTGAAACTGGTGGTTACTAAGTTTTTAAAATTGTCAGACACGTGGCCTATTGTGGCCACATTAGATTTTCCTGTTAAAGGGCAAGATTAAAACAATATAATCATTTGATTTGGGTTACAATAAACCTATTGTGCATTTAACCCTGACTGAACACAGCTAAACAATCTCTCTGCAGTACAAATCAATACAGCAACCAGCAAACGCCACACCAAGACTCACCTCCTCACTAACAAGAATGCCACGCACAAAATCATCCCGGGTTTGGTAGTCAAAGTTGTCCGTAAATAGCTCGGCAACCTGGCAACAAATTGAACACTGGGGTTAGTTACTTCACCAGCAGCACTCATGCTCAAACTGCCTAGAACTGGATACCAACACAGAAGTTTTATCATAATAATAAATCCCCAATTTAATAAGTGTTTTAAATCATCAAAATGTTGCAAAGCGCTTCACATTATTACTGTTGAGCACAGACGGTTTTGATGGGCAAACATGGCAGTCATTTTGCACACAGCAAAAGTCCCACAAAAACAGCTAGAAGCTGAGGGATCAATTAGTCTGATGGATTGTCAGCATGGAGAAATTCCTTTCTCTTTTCCAATGGGGTCATGGGATTTTTCAGGAGAATTTGATCCTCTGCCACCCCCCACCCAGCTCTGCGTTGGTAGTTAGCTGCAATATTTTGGTTTGTGCAGAAGCTGGCACAGTACCACGCAAACAAGAGGTGGTTATTATCTGCCAACAAGCATAGAATCATAGAATATTACAGTACATTGTGTCTTGAAAAGAGCTATCCAATCAGTCCCACTCCCCGCGCTCTCCCCATAGCCCTGCAAACTTATCCTCCCCAAATAATTATCGACTTCTCTCTTTAAAAGTTGTTATCGAATCTGCGTATGTTGATACAGTTCTTTCACTGACCTGTGGAGAGCAAATGCTGATGTGGCAATCCAAGAGATCATGTCGAATCTCGATCTCATCGCTCCCACTGTGGAACATGGTCTATATGGAACACCAGAAAGACCAAGGTCAGAGATATTCACACTGGCACTTCCAAGAAACATCTATCTATACTAATAAAACGACAATGCCTGCCTGCGCTTCAAGGATTTCAATAACCGATTGATGTAGAGACATGCTTTATACCTCAACGGAAAGGTTTGGCACCGAGGAGTGACTTGGGAATATTTGTTTTCGGGTATCTCCTATCGTTCCTGAGTTATTTTCAGTTTTGTGTTTTTCACTGGTTACACCTGGTGGCTGCCGAGTCAAAGTGGCGCTGTGGCATTGCGTGTCACAGAGCACCTACATATGTGCACACACACTGCAGTTACATCTGGTGGCCGTGCCGGCTGACCGTGTCGCTGTGGCATCCTGCGCCACAGAGCACCCATGCAGCCAACCGGCAGGAACAAAATAAAGAACACAGACGAAGCTAAGCCGCAGCAACAAAATTACACTTTTAAAGCGCCGAATCCTCCCACAGGAGTCCTCCCAGATGAGTATACATACAGATGAAATGTATCTGTGTGTCTGTCTGTGTGTCAATCTACATTCCATATTGGATCCTTTGGTTGCAAGAGTATCTGCAACGGGTACAGCTAGTTTTATATATTTCCTCACAGCACCGGTGGCGGAACAAGCAACTGTGATGAGTCAACTGGGAACAAGGCAATTTGGAAAGTGAAATGACTCCAGGTTATTAGATGAGAGAGTGTGTGTCAGAGGAAGTGGAATGAGTGACTAGACCATTGATCTACTCCTGTCTGAAACTCAGACTAGGCTTCACCCTGGCAATGTGTGTAGTACATGTAGGGAGAGAGGAATATTGACCAGGCAGGAAAATGCCACCAGGATGTCACCATCTTCAAAACAACAATTTGCATTTACACAGCGGCCTTCACGTGGGGCAGCGTCTCGGAGTGCTTAACAATGGCGGAGCCTGACTCCGAGCTAAGGGGAGGGTGACTGTAAGCCCGGTTGAAGAGGAAAGCTTTCAGTCATGATCGAAAAGAGGGGAAGAAGGGGGTGACTGGGAGGGATTGAAGGAGAGAGTTCCAAAGCTTCGGAGGGGGCGTTGTGGCTGAAAGAACGGCTGCCGATGGTGGAGGGGAGGGCAAGAGGAGGCCAGTAAACTTGGTTTAACATCCCAGCACCTCCAACAAAGCAGTGCTGTTCCAGTACCACACTGGGAGCGTCAGCCTGAGCTGTCAGCTCTGGTGAGGGGCTTGAAGCTACAACCTTCTGGCCCAGAGACCCGTTAGAGAACCATCTGGGTGAGGCTACACACACCACACTTAGTGTACTGTACACACACAGGACGTTTTATCTGTGGCAAAATTGTCTGGTACTGGTGAAGAGGAAGTCACTGTAAGACACAGATACAGACCATGGGAAATCGAAATTTCTTTAGCCTTTGAGTCTTCTGGTAGTGAAGAATACGGTTAGTTTTGGTGTCCATGGCAACAATAATGTCATCCTCCTGACACCTGGCCTTGTGACCTGGCGACGACTTCTTCAAAATCATGGTCATCACAGAGATGTTCTTCTCCAACTTCCGCCGTGTCCTGCGGAACCAAGACACAAAAAGCCACTGCATTAGCACTGGAACCAAAAGTGTGGGGGCAATCGAAAACCACTGCACAGGGTGTCCACAAAGCCATGTTACCCCCCCGACCCCTTCCCCCGTTACAACATAGCGACATAAGACTATGGAGGAGATGAAACAAGCTGTCAGAGATGCATTTCGTCTCCTCACTACATCCATGTCAAGGAAGATGTGGCACCAAAGATAGCGACATCATGAAAATGATGTCGTTCACACTCGCAATAATCCTCTGAACATCTAAATATTTAAACACTTGCACTGAATACAATTAAGTACTTCTGCATACAATTATTATCATTCTTCCACATGTTTCAGTTGTTGGTTAGTGTACTACATAAAAAAAACTTGGGAGTAACAGGACTTTTTGGACACCCTATACATTGAATTGTGGTTCAATGGGGACTTTGCAGGCTAGTAATGTATCCCAACAGTGTATCTCAACACACACTCACTTGTGCTCCTCCAATGCTTTGGCAATGTTGATGTTGGAGATGATATCGCCGTAAACCAGGATGAAGTCTGAGCGCACCAGGGACTTTGCGTCCACGTCCCTCAGGACATCGCCAATGGAGCGGAAGGACTCAGAGCTGATCACGTGGATGGTGTTTGGAGAGGTAGGCCGATTCCACTTAGACTTCCTGAGAAAGAAAGGAATTAATGAATGAATGAAGGAAAGAAATGCAGGTTACATCATGCGCACACTGGGTTATAAACTGAAGTCAGCCCTAAATTTTATATTATGGCGATATGAGTAAGTGGTCTTTAAGATTCTAAAGTGACTAAATAATGATAAGCTGTTTTATCTTGTACTGAACAGTAAAATCAGAGGTCACGGCCTGCGATTGAAGGGGTGAATTCAAAACAAAAGTGTGGAAACACTACTTCAGTGAGCGAATAGTAAACGTATGGAACAGGCTCCCTAGAGACAACCCCAAATCTTAGAGATCATGAGCTTGCTGGTTTGAATCCCAGTCCATTCTGAGTTTATTGTCCTCAGCCGAGTCTGCACAGGGAGACCATTACCTTGACCTTCCCAGGAGGGGAAAAACAGCCAGGGTTCCTGCTCCCAATCCCTCTACTGGTTCTGTATGGGTGTGTGTGGCAGCCGGGTGAGGAGAGGTCACGCTTGGCTGTGACATCCTCTGCAGTCACTGTAGGCAATGCTCACTGTCAGAGCTCACACATGTATAATGCCACTTGGGCGGTATAACTGGCAAGAGGGGTAATGTACTACTAATAATAATCCTTGAGTTTGATATAGCGCCTTATCATGTTGTTGAGAGACGTCTCAAAGCGCTTCACAGAATATATGGAGTGACTGTATTCTGTGGGTGAAAATTAGTAGGGTGAAAGTTAGAAAAAATAATTGGATAAAATAAATTTATATATTAAAAAAATTCCAGGGATTCAGTATAAGAGAATTAATCAGCAAAAAACATTTTGTTCAAGTTCAGATTCTCCCCCCCCAAGTGCAAACACTAACAGAACACCATTGGAGCTCTGATCATAAATGAGATCACCATTCCCAGAGGGATACTTCCGGGTATTCACAAATCCCTGAAAATCAGACACCCCCCAAGAACAGAAGATGTTGTAAAACTTGAAACATTTACAATATGTGCTCTCGGATTCGCTGAGACATCCAGCAGCAGAAGACGTAGGTTTCCTGTACACCGGTCGCTGTCAGGAACTCCAGTGTGTAGTCGATCATTGACACATTCGCAAGTGGAAGCAGGGCCTGCAGAGGAAGAAACAGCAGAAATACAACAATGGCAGGTCTTAGCTTGGCTCTGTCTCTCTATATATGCATCTCTACATGCAGTATATATGTACATAGTATATATATACAGATATATATACACACAAACATTCCCTCTAAACGATATACAATTATAATTCCACAACGTTCTGACCCATTGGCAAGAAAGCTGTGTACTCATCCAGGTTGACCAATATACTGCGGAGTCCTGTCGCTCAGTGGTTAGAGCGCTCGCCTCACAAGCGAGAGATCTGGGTTCGAATCGTGGCAGGACGAAACGTTGGGCAAGTTTCCTTACTCCACACGCCTTTGTTTACCCAGCAGTAAGTAGGAACCCAGTTGCGAGTTGATTGGTGGATCACTTTTCTGGGGATAATAATTCCTTCAAAAAAAATACATTGGTCACTCAATCCATGACTGTTTGGGGGACGCTGCTGTGCCTAATTGGCTGCCGTGTTTCGCCCACAAATGACACAGTCACTTTACAATATATTCTGTGAAGCACTTCGAGACGTCTCAAAGACGTGATAATCATAGAATCACAGAATTATACAGCACAGAAGGAGGCCATTCAGCTCATCGTGTCTGTACCCGCTCTTTGAAAAGAGTTTTTCCAATTCAACCCCACTTCCCCCCTCTCTCCCCATAGCCCTGATCATCCCCACTCCCCCGCTCTCTCCCCATAGCTGTGATCATCCCCACTCCCCCGCTCTCTCTCCATAGCCCTGATCATCCCCACTCCCCCGCACTCTCCCCATAGCTGTGATCATCCCCACTCCCCCACTCTCTCCCCATAGCTGTGATCATCCCCACTCCCCCGCTCTCTCCCCATAGCCCTGATCAACCCCACTCGCCCCCCCCTCCCGCTCTCTCCCCATAGCCCTGCAAACTTGTCCTCCCCAAATAATTATCTTCTTCTCTTGTAAAGGTTGATAACGAATCGCCTTCCACACCCTTTCAGGCAATGCATTCCAGATCCCAACAACTCGCTGTGTGAAAAAATATCTCCTCACCTCCCCTCTGTTTCTTTTAATACGGCTGCTATATCAAGTGCAAGGATTATTATCATTTATTATTATTATATATACATACAGATATACATAACAGCATAGATATCAACATTACATAATAGCGGAGACAACGTACAACCTGTATGTATTGTATGCGCACAGTATATACACAGTGTATAATGCATATCTGTACGATGTCTATTATATTGTTGTTGTTGTTGTATATTGATAGTCGCTGGAGAGCACATATACCATAAACTACAATATATAATATATGTGTGTGTGTGTGTAACTATAACTCAACAGACTGCATATGTTGTGTGTGTGCATATATATAACTGAACAAACAGCATATTATATACAGTGTATACTATAAACAGTATATGTATACACACACACAGACAGCACCGGCGCGCCATAGGCATCACGGTATGGATTCTATAGGAGGCCGCCTACCCTCGGCATGTCCTTAGACACCGGGAAGAACCTCCTGTTGAAGCTGTCGGCCACCAGGACGGCCTGGAGCGGCGCCGTGTGCTCGGGGTCCTCCTCGCGGCCGGACCCGGACCCGGGGCCTGAGCCCGAGCCCGAGCCCGAGGACAGGGCCCTGCGGACCGGTCTCTGCTTCGCCGCCATCTTGCCGAGCCCACCGGGCCTACCGCGCCTGCGCACTGAGGCTCCCCCGCCGGCAATCCACAGCGCCCCCCACGGCCACAGGCGGCACTGCAGCTCCACACAGTGTGTGTACACTGTGTATACTGTCCACCTCCCTCAGTGAGTGTGTGTACACTGTATATACTGTCCACCTCCCTCAGTGTGTGTGTGTACACTGTATATACTGTCCACCTCCCTCAGTGAGTGTGTGTCTACACTGTATATACTGTCCACCTCCCTCAGTGAGTGTGTGTACACTGTATATACTGTCCACCTCCCTCAGTGAGTGTGTGTACACTGTGTATACTGTCCACCTCCCTCAGTGAGTGTGTGTCTACACTGTATATACTGTCCACCTCCCTCAGTGAGTGTGTGTACACTGTGTATACTGTCCACCTCCCTCAGTGTGTGTGTACACTGTATATACTGTCCACCTCCCTCAGTGAGTGTGTGTACACTGTATATACTGTCCACCTCCCTCAGTGAGTGTGTGTACACTGTGTATACTGTCCACCTCCCTCAGTGAGTGTGTGTCTACACTGTATATACTGTCCACCTCCCTCAGTGAGTGTGTGTACACTGTGTATACTGTCCACCTCCCTCAGTGTGTGTGTACACTGTATATACTGTCCACCTCCCTCAGTGAGTGTGTATATACACTGTATATACTGTCCACCTCCCTCAGTGAGTGTGTGTATACACTGTATATACTGTCCACCTCCCTCAGTGTGTGTGTATACACTGTATATACTGTCCACCTCCCTCAGTGTGTGTATACACTGTATATACTGTCCACCTCCCTCAGTGAGTGTGTGTACACTGTATATACTGTCCACCTCCCTCAGTGAGTGTGTGTACACTGTATATACTGTCCACCTCCCTCAGTGTGTGTGTACACTGTATATACTGTCCACCTCCCTCAGTGAGTGTGTATATACACTGTATATACTGTCCACCTCCCTCAGTGAGTGTGTGTATACACTGTATATACTGTCCACCTCCCTCAGTGTGTGTGTACACTGTATATACTGTCCACCTCCCTCAGTGAGTGTGTATATACACTGTATATACTGTCCACCTCCCTCAGTGAGTGTGTGTATGCACTGTATATACTGTCCACCTCCCTCAGTGTGTGTATATACACTGTATATACTGTCCACCTCCCTCAGTGTGTGTGTACACTGTATATACTGTCCACCTCCCTCAGTGAGTGTATGTACACTGTATATACTGTCCACCTCCCTCAGTGAGTGTGTGTATGCACTGTATATACTGTCCACCTCCCTCAGTGTGTGTGTATACACTGTATATACTGTCCACCTCCCTCAGTGTGTGTGTACACTGTATATACTGTCCACCTCCCCCAGTGAGTGTGTGTACACTGTATATACTGTCCACCTCCCTCAGTGAGTGTGTGTACACTGTATATACTGTCCACCTCCCTCAGTGAGTGTGTGTACACTGTATATACTGTCCACCTCCCTCAGTGAGTGTGTGTACACTGTATATACTGTCCACCTCCCTCAGTGTGTGTGTCTACACTGTATATACTGTCCACCTCCCTCAGTGAGTGTGTGTACACTGTATATACTGTCCACCTCCCTCAGTGTGTGTGTATACACTGTATATACTGTCCACCTCCCTCAGTGAGTGTGTGTATGCACTGTATATACTGTCCACCTCCCTCAGTGTGTGTGTATACACTGTATATACTGTCCACCTCCCTCAGTGTGTGTGTACACTGTATATACTGTCCACCTCCCTCAGTGAGTGTGTGTACACTGTATATACTGTCCACCTCCCTCAGTGAGTGTGTGTACACTGTATATACTGTCCACCTCCCTCAGTGAGTGTGTGTACACTGTATATACTGTCCACCTCCCTCAGTGAGTGTGTGTACACTGTATATACTGTCCCCCTCCCTCAGTGAGTGTGTGTACACTGTATATACTGTCCACCTCCCTCAGTGAGTGTGTGTATACACTGTATATACTGTCCACCTCCCTCAGTGAGTGTGTATATACACTGTATATACTGTCCACCTCCCTCAGTGAGTGTGTGTATACACTGTATATACTGTCCACCTCCCTCAGTGAGTGTGTGTATACACTGTATATACTGTCCACCTCCCTCAGTGAGTGTGTGTATACACTGTATATACTGTCCACCTCCCTCAGTGAGTGTGTGTACACTGTATATACTGTCCACCTCCCTCAGTGTGTGTGTATACACTGTATATACTGTCCACCTCCCTCAGTGTGTGTACACTGTATATACTGTCCACCTCCCTCAGTGAGTGTGTGTACACTGTATATACTGTCCACCTCCCTCAGTGTGTGTGTACACTGTATATACTGTCCACCTCCCTCAGTGTGTGTACAGTGTATATACTGTCCTGTAGCTCAATGGTTAGAGCACTCGCTTTGCAAGCGAGAGACCTGAGTTCAATTCCAGGCAGAGGGCGAAACCTTGGGCAAGTTTCCTTACTCGACTGTTTGTGGGACATTGCTGTGCGCAATTGGCTGCCGCGTTTGCCCACAAATATACAGTCAATTCACTTTACAGTGTGTTCTGTGAAGCGCTTTGGGACGTCCTCCCGACGTAAAAAGCACTATATCAAATGCAAGGATTATTATTATTACTGTCCATCTCCCTCAGTGTATGTACACTGTATATTCTGTACACCTCCATCACTGTGTATATACACTGTATATGCTGTACACCTCCCTCAGTGTATGTGTGTGCACTGTATATACTGTACATTCCATCTGTGTACACTGTATATACTATATACTTCCCTGTATGAGTGTGTGTGTGCGCTGTATATACTGAACACCTCCCTCTGTGTGTGTACTGTATATACTGTAAACCTCCCTCACTGTGTGTGCTCTGTATATAATGAACACCTCCCTCTGTATGTCTGTGTATGTGCGCACTTTATATACTGTACACCTGCCTCAGTATGTGTACATCCTACATGAAAAGCGCTATATAAATGCAACTTTTTGTTGTTAGATACACCTCCCACAGTGTACACAGTATATATATCTTCTATCTTTACTAATAAAGTCTGTGTGTCTGTGTATCCGACAATCACACAGTAACTGATTAACTTAGAGAAATGAATCATACCTCATCAGAAAGATCTTGCATGGGTATATTATTTTGGGGGGATCTCCTATAGTTTATGAGCTATATTAAAAAATGCTTTAATGAAGCCCCAAAATATGAGATATGCATCGTATTCTGCCACTACGTAGTGTCAGAGGAAAGCACACACCGTTCAGACAGAAACATCTATATTCTGTAACAAATGTATGGCACTGTCTCCTGCTTGTCATGGGAGCTGGAGTCCTTCATGTAGGACAGACAGACAGACAGACAGAGAGACTTGGAGAGACACAGAGAGAGACTGAAATAGTTGTGGATTGAGTGACCAAATTATTTTTTCTTAAAGGATTATTATTCCCGGAAAAGCGATCCGTCAATCGACTAACACCCGGGTTCCTACTTGCTGGCAGGTAAACAGAGGCGTGTGAAGTAAGGAAACTTTCCCAAGGTTTCGCCCTGCCCGGGAATCGAACCCAGGTCCTCTCGCTTGCGAGGCGAGTGCTCTAACCACTGAACTACAGGACTAAGCTACAGGACTTGTATATAACAAAATTACACAGAGTTAGAGATTGCCAGGGCAACGCAAAGAGTCAGGACAACGAAGAGGATTTGGATGTTTTTAATTTCCTGTTGTAAGATGAAACAGATGAAGTCAGAACACATCATAAATTGAGCTGAGGGGATGAGGCTCTATCTTTCCTACAGTGGAAAATATAGCTCAGAAAGGACAAAACATAGGCTCAGATTAAAGTCCGAGCTTTAAACACAAGCTGGAGAAAAAAGGTTCTTATAAAATAATATCTTCAATCGCAGGAACCAAAATCATTCATTTCTTGACTGGCCAGAATCTCCCTTCTCTTTTCAAGTAATGCCATGGGATCTTTAACGACTATCTGAACAGGCAGACGGGACCTTGGTTTAAGGTCTCATCTGAAGGACAGCACCTCCGACAATGCAATGCAATCCCAGCTCTGCATTGGAGTGTCATCTTAGACACTCCACAGCAATGCTGGGGGCGGGGTGGGGGGGAGTGTTGCATCGTGGAGCACATGGGTCAAAAGGGTTAAAGGAGGTCACAGAGAAAGACCGTGCAGGGAATATGAACATGAGGATGTTGAATTCAATCTGTTGGAGAACAGGTGGAGACAAACGAGAATGGGGTTGATGGGTTCGTGGCGCCCGGCGCCAATCGACTAACAACCAGGTTCCTACTTACTGCTAGGCAAACAGAGACGTGTGGAGTAAGGAAACTTGCCAATGATTTCGCTCCACCCGGGAATCAAACCCGGGTCCCCTGGCATGCGAGGCGCTAACCACTACTCTACAGGACTCCATATGCAAATCTCCCCAAACTAAAGGCCTGTCAGTGACGTCTGAAGCCGCTCCAGTTACAACAACACTGAAGGTGGGAAGTTCGGTCACCAGGCAGAGACAAGTGGCATATTTCTGGAGGTTGAGACGGAAAGCGGTTGATTGCTTTCTACTCTGATAAGATTGAAAAAAACGAAAGGTTTTCAAACAGCCTGGAGCCAAGTCTGCAAATAAATGCTGCAAGCTGGGGAGACGGAGTTTAATTTGTCATTTTGTCCCATGTTTGTTCAATATTCAGTTGCTATGTAATAAAGCACAAAACTCTCGCGCCAACTGGGCATTGTGTGTGTGTGTGTGTGGGAGGGAGGGGAGGAGAGGGGAGTGAGGGTGTGGGGTACATTTGTTATAACTCTTTCAGAGTGAGTCCAGAGTCTTGTGGTGCCAGGATTGGGGTCCTGTCAGCGCTCTGAGGCACTATCCTGCGTGAAAGATGCTATAGAAATGCCTTGGGACGTCCTCCTGACGTGAAAGACGCTATACAAATGTAACCTTGTTGTAAATATCTTTCTGCTTATCCAATTTTGCTGGTCTGTTGGTAGCATTCTCACCTCCGAGTCAGATGGTTTTGGGTTCAATCCCCACATCAGGACTTGGAACTCATGTAGTCCAGGCTGACACTCCAATGTCATGAAGTGACACCGGGAGAGAGAAGCTCGCTTCTGTTTAACACCCACCTGAACAGGCACAGTTGGGAACTTGGTTTAATATCTCATCCGAAGGACGGCATTTCTGATCAAGCAGCGCTCCCCTAATGCTGCATTGGCGTGTCGGTCTAGATGTCAGTTCAAAGTTCCTGATGTGGAGAGCTTGAATCCACAACCTTCTGACTCAGAGGCGAGAGCGCTACTGACAGAGCCAGGCTGACATGATAGCTTGTTTTTCCATCTGATTTAAGGCAACAATACTGTCAATTCACCCACAAAATCCACAGTCAATGACTTACAGTATATTCTGTGAAGCGCTTTGAGACGTCTCAACGACATGTTAAGGAGGTATATTAATTGCAAGCATTATTATTGTTGATAATAATAATATTAATAATAATAATACTTGCATTTGGACTCCTAATGAAACAGAAGCTCCGTGTTAATGAAAACATACAATTGGATAAACCTGGTATGTAGACAGAAGATTCTGCTTCCAGGCAAGAGAACGTTCAAAGGGTTAATTTAACATTCAGGAAGTGAGTTGGACGTTGGTACCTGCGGTTGTGAGCTGGCAATGCCTCACACTCCCCTTCTCTTGAACGACACTGGCTGCCGACAATGGATGAAACCAGGCAGGTTGGAGGACTCAGATCAAACAATCGCCTGATCCCCTTCTTTCTCTCTGTCATGGTCGCTTCTTTGATGGAAGGTAAGAATTTTGGCCGGAAATATTGGAAGTTTTATTATGGTCAGCCGGATGTCTGACAAGTGCAGAAACCCATCACCACGTTTAAGAGTAACCAAGGGAGCTGAATTTATAAAACACACAGCGCGACACTGTGCAAAAGAAACTCTGAAACGCTTTGGGATGTTTTGACGCAACAAGCTCTGTATGAAATGCAAGGGTTGTTATTTTTTTATTAAATAGGGACTCATTTAAGAAACATCTCAGCACAATGATGGGAGGTCAGGGGTCCATCTCCACCTTATCCCTTCCTTCCCCATCTTCAGATCGCGCCTGAAGACCTTGCCCTTCGATCGTGCCTACGGTCACCTTCCCCTTCCCCCTGGCTCGGCGTCGTGCTCCGCCACTGTCAAGCGCTCTGGGACGCTGCCCTGCGGATGAGATCATTGGGCTAAAAAAGGCTTCTTCAACTAAACCTCTCTTGTGCTCTTCTGAAAGCTTGAGATGGTCCTGAGGTGTTGATCTAACTGAGGTGTTTAAAATGATAAAGAGATTCGATAGGATAGATACTGAGAAACTATTGTATCTGGTAGGTGGGGGAATCCAGAACAAGGGGGGCATCACCTTAAAATTAGAGCCAGGGCATTTAGGAGTGAAATCAGAAAGCATTTTTTCACACAAAGGGTAGTTAGTTGGAATCTGGAACTCTCTCCCCAAAAAGCTGTGGAAATCGGATCAATTCAAATGTGCTAGACTGAGGTGGGTAGATGTTTGTTAGGTCAGGGTATCAAGGGATATAGAGCAAAGGTGGGTAAATGGAGTTGAGGTACAGGTCTGCCATGATCTAATAGAATAGTGGAACAGGCTCGAGGAGCTGAAAGGCATAAATAAATTATTATTTGGTTACTCAATTCATGACTGGTTTAGGGCACTGCTGTGTGCAATTGGCTGTTGCATTTCGCCCACAAAATATAAAGTTAATTCATTTTAAAGTATATTCTGTGAAGCATTCTCAACAACGTGATAAGTTGTTATATCAAAGAAATGCGAGGATTATTATGTTCCTATGAAAGCTGTTGGAACAATTGCTGCATTTCCGCTCCAGGACCCAGTGACTGCGCTCGCCCCAATCTTGCGGATTTGGATGGAATACGTTTCTTAAAGGCGTTCGAAGACGTGTTTGAAAGTAGTGCGATTCGGCCCGTCCAGAATTTCAGCCGCCCTCTATACATTAACCTCACCGTCATCCTTCACGCCATCCTGGGAGTGGTAGGATTGCATTGGAGTCTTTGTAAACGTCAAACTTTATAAACGTCAGACTTTGTAAACGTCAGACTTTTAATACCTATTTTTTCTTTGAAGGATGAGAAACAGGAGACTCTAACAACGTACATATGGATTGAGCAGGTAAAGGAATCAGTTTATAGCCCCAGACAGCAGGGCATAAAGTCACAGGGTTAGTGCGCAAAGAGCAAGTAACAGACACCAGGATATGCTTCTCTATACAGCAGCATTCAAGAGTTGGGACAGGGGAACAGGAAGCTTGGTTGGTTGAGGCCACGTCACTGGGATTAGTTTAAGAAACAGCTGGACTGTATGGACGGACGCTCAGGTGGGGATTCTATAAGGATGAGATCAACGGAGATGAGTGTTAACTTGGTCCTGTTCTTGGGTTACACGGTTGATGCTGAACAACAGATGTACTCGAAACTTAGAGTATTGGAATCAAGGTTTATCACAATATAGCTAGTCAGTCTACATAAATTGTAGGGGAGCATTAGGATTCTTTGACTGTTCTGCTCCCAATGACTAGAGGTTGTGGAGACTTGTAACATGGTGGTAAGTGCGCTCGCCTCTCAAGCGAGAGGACTTGTGTTCGATTCCGAGGAGGTGGGGGGGAGCCTTATGCATGTTTCCTTGCCGCTGTTTGGATTGCGAGGATTATGATAGTAACACGGATGTTTATTCGGGTAGACCTGGTTCCACGAGTTCCTGATGTGGGAACCATCAGAATTTGGTGGAAAGCGGTACGTGGCTCTTCCTGTGGACAAACTCTGGCTCCCAGATACCTTCATCACTGAAATGTAAGTAGCAATCTCTGCCCACATTATCAATGTCCCCTTCAGGAAATCTTTTCTCAATCAGTGAACGAGTCTCGTGTTCAGGTTGTGCGTCACATTTTCCCCATTAAACGGGGAGATTCTCGCTTCGCTCTTCACCCTTCGCTTTACACCATGAGTTACAATTAATTCTTATCACTCCATCAGCAAAAAAAATACACTAACTGTGCTGGTGCTCACTCCCTCCCTGGAGCTCTCTACTCTAACCCCATTCCCTGCTCTCACCCCATGTCTTCAAATATCTATCCAATTCCCACTTTGCTGAAGTATAAGTGACCATCTTTCATCTGTAAGCAATAAGCCACGAGCAAAAATTGAGGGAAAGCTTGATACCATTAACTTGGAATTTTTTTTGTCCGAAACAGGGTTGATGAGGATAAGTCACCAATGGCTCCGTATCTCTACGTTCATTACACGGGGAAGATTATCTATGGAAAACCTCTGCGAATTGTCAGCTCCTGCAATCTCAACATCCTATACTTCCCCTTCGACATTCAAAAGTGTTCCTTGTCAGCCATGTCCATCACATTTTTCGGTGAAGAACCATGAAATATTATATCTCCATCTGTAAATCCCACTTTCAGGCTGACCGCTTTAACCATCCAATTGTCACTTCACCCTCCCCCCCTTCTCCCTTGCTCAGTGTTCAACCCCGCCTCTGAGACACTATCCTGCCTGAAGGACATAATCAGAATAATCCTTGCATTTGAGACGTTTCAAAGTGCTTTACAGAATCAATGTGCTATAAAGTGAATTGACCGTATATTTGTGGGTGAAACACGGCAGCCAATTACACACAAGGTCTCGCAAACAGTCGTGGATTAAGTGACAACATTTTTTTCATGGGATTATTACCCCCGGAAAAGCGATCCACCGATCGACTAACAGCTGGGTTCCTACTCACTGCTAGGTAAACAGAGGTGTGTGGGGTAAGGAAACTTGCCTATTGCATAACCTCTGCTACTGGATGCAATGTAAATGCAAGTTGTGTTGTTGGTATCTATTTCAACCGAACTAGCCTTGACATGAGTGTGCTTGAGGTGCTTTCAAGCTAAAATTCCCCTGAAACACTGACGTCTCAGTTAATGTCTCATCTGAAAGATAGCACTATCACTAAGGATGATGTTTCTCCCAGTATCCTGGCTGTCCATCCCCCCTAAATCTATATTCATTCACTTCAGGGCTGTTTGTTGGACATCGTAGTGTGCACAAATTAATTGCCGTTTTTGCCTACAAAATATACAGTCACTACACATGAAGCCCTTTGAGACGTTTTGACGATGTGATAAGGCAATATGCCAAATGTGAAGATTATCAAAAATGGGAAGCAACCAACCCATTCTTCAGTGCATTCGATGCTTTAGAAACTCGATAAGAAATCTGTTTAGAAATAGCGCGTATTAGTTGCTAAAATTAGCCACAGGAAGTCTCTGAATGAGCCGCGCAGCTTGGTTTAACCCAAAACGTTTGCCTTGCAGACACTGACCTCAAAATACATCTCGAACAGACTTCAGAGGATATCACGTCAATATCCCAAAAGATTATTCAAACAAAAGGAGAGTGGGAATTAATCAAAGTGAACGCTGTAGAAGGAAGCCTTTCTGTAGATGGACAAAGCTATGATATTGTATCCCTGGAGGTAAACTACTTTTATGTTTGAATGTTCACCACGGGATGAATTGTGAAATAATCCCGGTCTTGATTTATAATCCTATAATTAATCCTTGCATTTGATATAAAGCTTTTTCATGTCTTCTACACGTCTCAAAGCGCTTCACAGGATATACTCTAAAATGGATTGAATGTGTATTTTGTTTACCTAACAGTGAGTAGGAACCCGAATGTTAGTTGATTGGCCGATTGCTTAGTAATAATCCCTCCAAAAAAAAATACGGTCACTCAATGCACGATTGTATGTGGGACACTGATGTATACAATTGGATGCCACGTTTCGCCCACAAAATACACAGTCAATTCACTTTACAGTGTATCCTGTGAAGTGCCGTGAGACGTCTCAATGATGTGACAAGGCGCTGTATCAAACGCAAGGATTATTATAATAATTATTTGAGAATCTGACTCTTCTGTTTGTGGGACATTGCTGTGCGCAATTGGCTGCCGCGTTCGCCCACAAATATATAGTCAATTCACTTTACAGTATATTCTGTGAAGCGCTTTGGGATGTCTAGAAGACGTGAAAAGCGCTATATCAAATGCAAGGATTATTATTATTATTATTATTATTATTATTATTCTCAACTGCTGTATGTTCTTGTTCCCTTTTACAGCTGACGATGAAGCGAAGGCCTCTCTTCTACGTGGTAAACCTGCTGATTCCCAGCTCTTTCCTGATGCTAACCGACATCCTCAGCTTCTATCTTCCCACCCACAGCTTCGACCGGGCGTCGTTCAAGATGACGCTGATGCTCGGATACTCAGTCTTCCTGCTCATCGTGAAAGACCTGCTCCCCAACAATTCTGCCGGCACCCCATTAATAGGTATGACAACGATCCCTGAACCACCATCAACCTTCAACTCATCGTCCAAGCTGACACTCCACTGAAGTGTTGGAGGTACCATCTTTGGGACAAGCAGCTAAACTTTAGAGTTCCTGTAGCGTAGTGGTTAGCACACTTGTGTCGCAAGTGAGAGGACCAGAGTTAGATTCCTGGGCAGGCAAAACCTTAGGCAAGTTTCCTTACTCCACAAGTCTCTGTTTACCCAGCAGTAGGTAATAACCCGGTTGATAGTCGATTGGCGGATCGCTTTCCGGGGATAATAAACCCTTTTAAAAGAAAAAAAATTTGGTCACTCATTCCACGACTGTGTGGGACACTGCTGTGCGCAATTGGCTGCCGCGTTTCGCCCACAAAATATAGTCAATTCATTTTATAGTATCTTCTGTTAAGCGCTTTGAGACGTCTCTAAGACATGATAAGAAGCTATATCAAATGCAAGGATTATTATTATTAACTCACTGTCCAAGCTGCAGTGCTGAGGGGAGCTCGGCTGCATTGTCGGACGTGCTGTACTTGGAACGAACTGTTAAACCGAGGAACGTTGATGTCTATTTATGCACAGCAACATCGGCTAAACAGCCGTGAAGTGAATGATCAATTTTATCGCACGGGTGGGGTGGTGGGGTGAGGATAGGGGAGTGGTCAGATGGGATATTGGGAGAGGGAAACTCCCTTCTTTTTTCGAGGGGCGCTGTGGGATCTTTAACGTCCACCCGAACAGGACACAGGTGGAACCTCATTTTAACATCTCATCCAAAGACGGGAAGTGGCCGGGACGAGAAGGAATTGGAGTTTGGCTGCTCGGGAAGGGGGTGAGAATCTGACGCCTTCTGTTTACTTTCTCCCTTTCCAGCCATTTACTTTGTGGTGTGTCTGACCTTCATGGCAGTCAGCCTGATAGAGACCATCTTCATCATCAATATCGTTCACGAAAAGACGAACCAGAGCAGAGCCATTCCCAAGTGGGTCAGGGTGACAGTTCTCCATTACATGGCAAAGGTGTTCTGCCAGAGGGTGAGGGAGCCGTTATATCAGTCGGTGCCGACTGACATTCCCATCGTCAGCGTGGCCAAACAAGGTGAGGGGTACAAGGTATAGGGATGATGATAATAATAATTCTTTCATTTGATACAGTGCCTTATCGCATTGTTGAGACGTTTCAAAGCACTTCGTAGGATATACTGTAAAGTGTAGTGACTGTGTATTTTGTGGGCGAAACGTGGCAGCCAATTGCGCACAGCAGCGTCCCACAAACAGTCGTGGATTGAGTGACCAAATTATTATCATTTTTTTGTGGGGGGGTTTATTACCCACAGAAAGAGATCTGCCAATCGACTAACAACCGGGTTCCTACTTACTGCTGGTAAACAGAGGTTAACACTGACTCTGGTCTAACCAGCTGTTGCCTTCCACAGGTTGCGAGGACCACACGTCTGAGCTTTGCAGCTCACCTCAACTGCTCACCCTCCAGTCGCTGCTCAGAAAGATTGCAGAGGATGTGGAAGGTATAAAGCAACACCTGGACCAGCGCAGCCAAGAGCAAGGACTGAAGCACGAGTGGATCAGGATCGGGCACATCCTGGACTGCTTCCTCCAGTCCATTTACGTGTTATCCTTTGTTATCTTCGCACTAACCCTCACTGGCACCTGGGTCATGTAATCCCACACCAGGTTCCCAGAGAGATCCGGGAGTTCTATAGAACCATAGAATCTTACAGCACAGAAAGAGGCCATTCGGCCCATCGTACCAGTTTTTTGAAAGAGCAACCAACTAGCTAATCCCACTCCCCCGCTATTAATAATAATAATAATAATCCTTGCATTTAATATAGCGCTTTTCACGTCGGGAGGACGTCCCAAAGCGCTTCACAGAACACACTGTAAAGTGAATTGACTGTATATTTGTGGGCAAACGCGGCAGCCAATTGCGCACAGCAATGTCCCACAAACAGTTGTGGATTGAAAATGACCAATTTATTATTGTTCGCCCACAAATATACAGTCAATTCACTTTACAGTGTGTTCTGTGAAGCGCTTTGGGACGTCCTCCTGACGTGAAAAGCGCTATATCAAATGCAAGGATTAATTAATTAATTAATTTTGGAGGGATTATTATTAAGCTCTGTGTGGAGTAAGGAAACTTGCCCAAGGTTTCGCCCTCTGCCTGGAATTGAACTCAGGTCTCTCACTTGCAAAGCGAGTGCTCTAACCACTGAGCTACAGGATTATCCCAAAGCCTTGCAAATTTTGCCTTTTCAAATACATATCCAACTCCCTTTTGAAAGTTACTATCGAGCCATATAGTGTCACAGGACAGACGCCAGCCATTCCGATCCCAGGCTCCGGGGCTGAAGAATTCCACCTGGTCTTAGCCTTCCGGCCCTTAACCATTTCCCAATTCTTGCTAAATCGTGGAAAATTCTTACATTCTGTTATTTATAATAATAATCCTTGGATTTGATACAGCGCCTTAACACGACTTCGAGACGTCTCAAAGCGCTTCACAGGAAGGTGGAGTGACTGTGTATTTTGTGGACATAATTTTTATATAATTCTCTCCCCACTAATGTTGGTTATTCCTGACTCTAGCAGTTACCCCAACACACACTCTGGCGTCCCCCAAGCCTTGAATCTTGCCAACCTGCACCTAATATTTTCCGGATTTAGGTAAGCAGGATGCATCCCTCCAGGGAGAGGGAGAGAGAGAGAGAGAGATTGGCATTCCATTCCAACAATCTATCTCTGGAATTTCCAAGTCTAGGTAGGAGGCATGGGATTCGCAATCGGGTTTGGAGACTCTTAAGCAACGGTGATGGGTTTCCGTATGAGTCAGACACTCGGCTGCCAAAAACAAAAACCTGTGACTTTTATTAAATATCCGTAGAGAGAGCCCAGTGACAGAGGCTGTACCAATATTGCACTGAACCTGGAAGATAAGGGGTTAAAATAAATTGAAAATGGAGGAAGTGGAAAATAATCCCAGAGAAAATTCGGGTCCGTGTCTCAGACGGAAACACACAGCATCCTGTCAGCCTCGCTGCGAGAACTCCGAGCATCTCCCTCTGTAGCTGACCCTGTTTACGAAAATAGTTTCAATTAAATTATTAAACTGTGGTTTCAAAGGAGACGGAGCATGGAATTCCCAAAAGGATCCTCATGTTCACACTAGGCACTTGCCTCCTCTCTGCCGCTCAAGCTGTGCTGCATATGATAATAATAATATAGTGCCTTACCACAGCTATATATATTCTGTGAAGTGCTTTGAGACGTCTCAAATCGCTTCACAGAATTCACTGTAATGTGAATTGACTGTATATTTTGTGGGCGAAACGCGGGAGTCAATTGCGCACAGCAGCTTCCCCACAAACAGCCGTGGATTGAGTTACTGAATTAATTATTATTATTATTTTTGAAGAGATTATTACACCCGGAAATCGATCCACCAATTGACAAACAACTGGGTTCCTATTTACTACTAGGTAAAGAGAGACGTGTGGAGTAAGGAAACTTGCCCAATGTTTTGCTCTGCCTAATCCTCTTGCTTGTGAGGCAAGTGCTCTAACCACTACACTGTAGGTCTCCACTATCGTAGAATGTTCACAGCAACGTAGGAGGGCACTCTGTGTATCGTGTCTGTGCTGGTGCTCGCTCCCCACTGGAGCTCTCTACTCTAACCCCATTCCCTGCTCTCTCCCCATCATGTTTGTGCTGGTGGCTCACTTGGTAGCACTCTTGCCTCTGGGTCAGAAAATTGTGGGTTCAGACCCCCCAATTGCGCTCTGACATCCCAGTACAATCCTGAGGGCACACTGCATCATCACATTGTAGGAAGACTTCTCTGGGGTAAGACGGTAACTCCAAGGCTCAGGCTGCCTATTCAGGTGGACGTTTAAGAAACATTGACACAATTCCAAAAGAGAATGAAGTTTCCTTCTCCCATTGCCGTGGTCGAATATCCCCCAATAAGCTGCTTATTCATTCTGTGGCTGTTTGTGGAGACTGGTTGTGTGTAAATGGCTGCCTTGTTTGCGTAACATAAACAGTTACTACGCTTGACAGCAATTTCCCGTGAAGCGCTTTGAGACAGTTATCCACTGGGTGGCGCCCTTGTCTCATGAACCCTCTTTAAATGATGAATTGTTATTATTTTGGGGTAGAAATGAGTCACGACTGAAATCCCCCTTTTCTGTTTCTTTACTAGTGAGGCTGACCCATCCTAGGGTGTCAGCCTGCTCAATATGGGGCAAAATAGGTTCCCATTAAGTATTCTCCCCCCAGACCCAAACAATGAACGACCTAAAAGAGAACACGATAGTGAAGGGACACGGCTCAAGGAGAATGGCGGTGGGGGTTTGATTATTTGGGGGAGAGAGGGAATTGGGCCGTGGGTTTGATTCCCAGGCAGAGCGAAACCTTAGGCAACTTTCCTTACTCCATACGCCTCTAGCAGTAAGTAGGAACCAGGTTGTTAGTCGATTTGCGGCTCGCTTCCTGGGGGTAATAATCCTTCCCCTCCAAAAATGTGGTCACTCAAAGCACAACAGTTTGTGGGACACGGCTGTGCATAATTGACTGCGTTTCACCCGCAATAAGACACAGGAACTCCACTTTACAATATATCCTGTGAAACGCTTCGGGACATCTCAACTATATGATTAGGTGCTGTATTAAATTCAAGGATTATTATTATTATTACGTGAGAATGCTCATTCCCTGAGCCCACCAGTGGCCTGTGACTTATTGTCCCCATGGAGTGGGAGACAATGTCTACCTGCCCGACGAGTGAGTGGGGGAGGGGGGTGGTCAATGTCTCTCTGTCTCCATTATTCTACATCCCGTCAAGCTCGGGACCTTCCGGCGAGTGTAAGTCAGGTCTGAGCCACAAGCGGCCAACAATCCCACTTTAAATGAAAAACCTGGTGCGCTTGAGGGGGGCTTTGACTTTCACCTTCATCATCGTAGTCATCATCTAAAAGAAAACCTGATCGCCTGCGCGAGGTGTTGGGTGTGCGGACGGACGGACGGACGGATGGCCAGCCAGAGAGCCCTGCTAATCCCACTTGATCACATTTATCAGGAGCTGCTCTCGGACCCTGCCAAGGGCCAGGGTTTAACTCGTTCTCCCGGCTATCTGTAGGCTTTCAAGGGCTCGGATGTTCATTTCAACACCAGGTACAAAGCTGGGCTGGAATTGCTCTCTCCCAAGCCCTCGATCTGCCTTTCTGTTATTGTGTGTCAGCCCGGCTCAGTCGGTAGCTCTCTCGCCTCAGAGTCAGAAAGTTGTGGGTTCAAGCCCCCACATAGGGACATGGAATCACATAGTCTAAGCTGTCACTGCAATGCAGCACCGCGGGGGGTTGTGGGGGGTGTTGTGTTGTTGGAGGTGCCGTCCTTTGGATGAGACGTTAAACCGAGGTCCCGTCTGCCTGTTCGAAAAGAGAAGGGAGTTTATCTCTCCCGGTGTCTCTCACCTGCTCTTTCTCTCTGTCTCTCTCACTCCTTCTCTTTCTCTCTCTCTAGCCTGTTCTCTCTCCTTCTCTTTCTCTCTCACTCGCCTGAACTCTTTCCTCTTTGTCCATCTCTCTCTCTGTCTGTCTCGCCTGCTCTCTCTCTCTCTCTCTCTTGCCTGTGTCTGGGTTGGACATGAGCCCAGATCCCAAGATGTAAAAAGGATGGCATTCATTTCAACACTCCCTGCGCATAAATTAGCAGCTTTTTGCAGGACGCTTTGGCGCTGGATGTAGCCGCAAATTCCTTGTGTTTATCTCAATTATTAAAGCTGCTGCTGGTATTAGGAGCACGTAAATGGTTCCGTAAAGAATTCTTCCTCATCAGCGATTCACTGCTTATACAAACACAGCAAGAGGCCGAGCCTCTGTGTATCTGTCTATGTAAATAAATAAATAAATAAATAAATAATAATTTGGTCATTCAATCCACGAGACATCTCAAGGCGCTACATCAAATGCAAGGATTATTATTATTATTATTATTATTATTATCTCTGAGGCTCGGTGGCTTGCACTCTCATCTCTGAGTCGTCTTGAAGGTTTAAAACTCACGTGGGCCACTTTAAAATTACACTCTAGCCTGACACTCCAGTTTAATGCTGGAGGGAGGTGTGGATGTGAAGAGTGGTGAGGAGAGAGAGAGAGAGAGAGCACTGCATTGACAGAGGTGCCGTCCTTTGGATGAGACGTTGAACCGAGTTCAAGTCTGCGCCGGTTCAGGTTAGGGGAAAGCAGCAACACTGTCTGGAAAAGTAGAAGGGAGTTTCTCTCTCTCTCTCCCAGTGTCCTGGCCAATAGTCCCTCAGATTAAGCTCTTGTTCTCAGGCTGTGTGTATGTGCATGTGTGTGTTTGTGTACATGCGCGGGACCTTGCTGTGTGCACATTTGCTGCCGCATTTTGCCTACAAATCAACAACAGTCAATGTATTGAACGGTAAAGCACTTTAAGATGTTTATACCTGATAAAAACTGCTCTCTCTCTCTCTCTCTCTCTCGTTCTTTAGCTTCTCCCTCACTCTCTCATTTTCTTTCTCTCTTCAGTTTCTCGGTGTGACTGAGACAGATGGAGATGTAAAGTTGGAGGGAGGGTCAGAAGGAACACAGAAAAGTGGTCGCGTTAAAACACAATAACAAATTCCATTTACACAGC